CTATTAACACAACTTTACTATTTTCAGGTATACCGCGCGTTCAACTAAACTGTCAGGATCGATTTTGTTCATTACATTGACGGCGCGATGTGTTGTGTGCTGGAGGTTATTGGTCTCCTTCTGACGCGAAGCAATCGGAAGGGAAGCCTAGCTGCTCCTTAAAAGCAACTGTCAATCGATCTCATAAGTTTGCTCAGCGTTGGCAATCGGGTTCTGATCAACAATGTTTCCATTACTAATAAACCAGAAACAATTTTGCATTCGGTTCATATCCGCAACAATCTATTGTACAATAGATTAGATAGAATCATGTCAAAATCAATGAATAAAAATGAATACATTATATTCGTGTATCAAAAGAACGATATATCTTTTTATATCTGATTGATGACATTCTTAGTACAGGAAACTCGATCGAATGTAGGTAAAGGAGTGAACAAATATTTATTACGTTTTGTTCTAAAGATACATGCGGTTAGTTATTTGCTGAACAAATAAAATTAGAACACAAACACTAAAACATACAGTAGTCATATTGTACAGTAGACACGCTTATTACATCGACTAGTAAAATATAACATAATTCTGTAGACATTTTTGTTTTGTCTGAAGACTTTGAAGCTTCATCGTAACACAAAATATAGTTATTTGTTTGAATCATTAAAAAATACCACTGAAAAATATACTCTAGACTTAGCAACAGTACTTAATGATTATTCATTCGGATATTTAGGCAGACATTCTCGGTGAATTCTTTGCTCTAGTCTTATCATTCTCGTGTTGTCTCAAGAGCTAGATATACTGAGATGTCACATGTCAACTGGTGATTGATACACGAGGTTGATGGAAACAGCCGCTTTAATGGTAGCCCACAAGGTTGAGAGCTGACCTTGAACATTTTCAGGTACACTTACATAATTACATTCCAGTTTATTAGAAGCCATGAATCCGAATTTGTCGCGCATCAATCGATGCATGCATTGATTTATTGCTTTCGTTTCCTCGCGTCTTTGGGAATGCATTACTTTATGTTTCACGGTTCGTTTGCGTTACAATACATTTATTTAGCACCGCTGGAATGTATTTTTGTTATCACGAGAGAAAATGTTAGACGGAAAGCGTGCGCAACTCAGTCTTTATGCATAAGACAATGAAAAGTGTTCCCATATTTGTATTTAAATGCTTTTCTATACTAATATTATAAAGAGGAAAGATTTGTTTGTTTGTTTGTTTCGAATAGGCTCCGAAACTACTGGACCGATTTGAAAAATTCTTTTTCCATTAGAAGCCGACATTGTCCCTGATGAACATAGGCTACTTTTTTAAAAAAAATTTTTATTTTTTATTTTTTGTTTCATGTGTGTTTTAATGTTTCCGAAGCGAAGCGAGGGCGGGTCGCTAGTAGATAAATAAATCGAAGAATTATTTCCTAAGAATATCTATGACTGTTTGATTTCGATATTTTGCATTTATAATTAACTAGTAATAGCGGATATGTTTAATAATATTTTACTTTTTTAATACGCTTTTATTAGCTTCAGGCGTATGTATGTATGTTTGTAACGGAATTTTTGAACATGATTTTGATCCTCTTCAAAACGTCGGATTAACTCGAAATTTGGTATACTTATTTGGAATGATGACAATTCAATATTTTAAAAAAAATTGAAAAAATACTTGTTAAAGTTGAAATTCAACTAAACAATGAAAAATACATAATAGATTAAAAAAATTAACAAAATACACTTTTATAGAAAATCCAACTAAAAAATACAAAATAAATTTTAATAAATTTGAATTAAAAATAGTGTAAGAAAAAATTATTTTATTGTAAAAAAATCGTTGGTTGCATGGTATTAGTAGTTGTAAATATTTTATGAACAGAAATGAGTAGAAGGGTTATTTTGATAATATCCTGCCCCACGCTTTTTTACAATAAAATAATTTTTTCTTACACTATTTTTAATTCAAATTTATTAAAATTTATTTTCTATTTTTCAGTTGGATTGTCTATAAAAGCGTATTTTGTTAGATTTTTTAAACAATTATTTATTCTGTCAAAAATTCTGACTAACGACCTGTTCGTATCGTCACAGTCGTAGTCAATTGATCGTATGGAGTCCTCTGAGTCTGCATACCCGTCTACTACAGGGTACTACCAACTCACCTATTTCTGTCGCAAAGCAATTCGTGGGTTCCGGCCTGACTGAAGATGCGATTAGTTAGTTCCATCTCATGTTTCAAGATTAACAACGGCATCAACCTTGTGTTATCTTGTGTGTCCATTTAGCATAGGCATACTGCAGGGCCGGATTTAAACTTAATGCCGCTTCTGGGCACCGGAAAAAAATCCGCTCCAATACTGGAATTTTACCTTAACTTATAGTTCATATACTTTATTTTTCAAAATTAAAATAACTAATTTACTGCGGAAACTTTATCATATTTATGTCATGTATTCCAAAAGCATAAATAAATATTTGTTTTTTTTTCTTTCTAACAATTATAAATTTTGCCCTAAGGGTGACTCATAATTATATTACATAAAAAAAAAACTAATTAAATTTCTTTAATTATAGAAAATAGAAAAATCGATTATTATTTTAAATCTCCAAGGAAATAAGTGGATTAAATCATTTTGATTATTACTTTTTACCAAAAGTGCCAAATTTTTAATTCACAAATAATGGATGAATTAAATTTCTTGAATTATCAATTTAAAAGTAAATTATTAATTAATTATATTGAGCAATCTTGATACGACTTAAAAAAATATATTTTTAGTTTCAAAATTTAGCCGCCTCGGGTACTTGCCCCGTCTGCCCCTAGTGTAAATCCATCACTGTGGGTAGTAAATGCGCAAATCCATCGAATACACAAAAAAAATTAACTTGGGTAGCTACTAATAGCTATACTTACTTACTTCGTAAGCATTTACGCGTTTTGTTTTTTGTTATTATTAAACATTTGTTACAGTTTGTACCTTTCAAATTTTAGGAATTTACGTGGGCGGATGCGCACTTGAGACAATAGTGTCCAAATTTTATCGAATGTGTCAGTATAAGCGTTCCGTTTGTCAAATAGATAAGATCTGTCGTTGAACTTGAAATGTGAGCTTACTTTAAACCTGCAACAGCATGTTTTTTTTTTGTGAAAAATTTAGTTAAGATAACCGAATCGAATTGAGGTCAATGCGAGAATTATTTGATCATTTCATCGAACGTTAAAGCAGCACTTAGCCGGTATTAACTCAATTGCTGATAAGTTTAGTTACAACATTCTGTTTTGGGTGCATTCTCGTGACGAGATATCTTCGCAAATTTCTGAAAATTCAAACCGTATTATTAAACTTTTCTTCTTTTTTGTACTCCTACCGATGTTTGTTCATTTTTATTTATTTATTTATTTATTATACTTTATGTAAAATTTACATTGGCGGACTTAATGCGTAAGGCATTATCTACCAGTCAACCAAAGGTAGTGCACAATAAATAGTGGTAGGTGCAATGAAATTTATAATAAATTACAAATACATGCACAAAAAATATATACATATATACACAATGAAATATACATATACATACATAAATACATACCATATAATAGTTTATACAATATTAAAAGGAATACCGTAGGTTTACCGTATAATTCTAATCCGGGTTTACGTGAATCAGTGCTCATTTTCATTTTCAAGTCGTATGGTTTAACTGTCCGTTACTTTTTCCAGACGCATCATTTGAATATTTAAATCGGGATAAGAGAATTTACGATTAAATCAGATTTCAATAAGGAGTTTCTATCGTGAACCGTTTCATGTTTCATTCAATAAAGGCAGCCGTAACTCTGGGTTGATCGCTACGAATCTTCTAAAGATAGAAAAGCAATAAGACCGGCAGACAATCAGTTTGTTTATTTACTGGAGGATACAATCTGTCGTCTGTTCCCCGATCCCCAATAAGCGTGATCCCCGGGGCGTTCGCTGTGAAATATAATCTCAGAAGCGACACGCTAAAAATACACATTTCACTTTTAATTGTAACAATAAACTTCTTTGAATTTTTTTACGTTCAATTGTTGTCTGTCTGTTAATTTGACTTAACATGACTCTTTATTTTCCTGTAGGCACCCTACGGTGGATGTCTCTTACCCGACTGTCGAAGAAGCTAATATTTTTAAAGTCGTTTTTTTTATTGCTTAGATGGGTGGACGAGCTCACAGCCCACCTGGTGTTAAGTGGTTAATGGAGCCCATAGACATCTACAACGTAAATGCGCCACCCACCTTGAGATATATAAGAAGTTCTAAGGACTCAATATACTTGAGTTACAACGGCTGCCCCACCCTTCAAACCGAAACGCATTACTGCTTCACGACAGAAATACGCAGGGTGGTGGTACTTACCCGCGCGGACCCTCAAGAGGTCCTACCACCAGTAAATCTTTATAATAATAGCTATGCATAATATTATAAGTTAATCAAAGAGATCTAGAAAATATGTATAAAATGAATACATATATGAAAATACCTATATACTTGCAAACCTGAAGTGAAATTCAGTGAAGTCGCTTCTAGTAAGTTAGTCTTGTGTTGGTCAGTAAGGGCGGACGAGCGAGCATGGGGCGGCGTGCGCGTTCCAGTCTTCCTCCGCCCTCCGATAGCGCCGCAAACCGACAGCGCTCACTTTGAAAACAGGACAACTGCGCCTATTAAAATACTTTCCAACTTCGCTCACAATTCGATACTTAGTAGGACGCGAATTGCGAGTCAAAACTTCATATTAAAATCGTTCGTATTTGTTAAAAAAATGTACAACGGTATTCATTAATCATTGGCAATTAAATTTGAATGAATAAATACTTAGAGGGGTTTCGTAAGCACGACCAAGAGCGTATTGCGTTGTCGATAAACAGGTTTCATACTACTACAAAACTACTCATAGTTTACACGTGTAATGGACGCGTAGCATGTGAATTGAAAAAAAAAAGTTTAGTGAAGTGAAGATGGCTGATAAACTTCATGAGTACCAGGGGTTAACAGGAAGGTTTCATAATGCACGGGACCGATACAAAGATAGATGGTCAACATGGAAGGAGCAACATCCTAGGGGAGTCAAGGGTATCTTAGCGGAGACCTTGTTTGGTATCCCTAATTCAGAAGAGCCTTCTGGACGAGTATGGCAGGATAGCGAATATAGTGATATATTTAGGTAAGAAAAGAAGTTAGTTTTAACGGTGGGCAGCGTTTTGGGTCTGAGCGTCCATGAGCGACGGTAACCACTCAGCATCAGGTGGACCGTATGATCGTTTGCGTACACGGGCAATAAAAAAGTTTTCAAAGTGTATTTATTTATATCGTTTTTTTAAGAATGGAGAATTTTTTTGTTGCCCTTTCCTACCCACTGTTGTTAATTCTTAAACCAGTAATTTAAGCAATAACAAATTTAGCCTAAGGAGTTTCGATTGCCTTGTGTATTCTTTCAAATATTAATCGTAGTAAAGATACATAGATGATTGATATGACGTGATAATATACATAGCTTTATAAATTTTTACCTGATGAAGGTTGAGATTCACCTCTAAAAGAATTCATCTGGCGATTTCGTCGTAGGAAATCATGATTTTCGTTCCTAAGATTTTAATTGAAGTTTTGATTTCTTAAATTAATTAGAATTTTCAAAGTTTGAAACTCAGCTTGTTTTTGTTTTTACAAAATTGAACGTTAACATCTGCCGTTACGTTTTATTTTTCTGAATTCGAATTATTCATCGCTACCGCAAATTTTACACAAAACTCTTCCGTTGGCATTTTATTTGGTTTTAAAGAAATGTCGCTGGGCTGTTATGAAGCAAAATCATTCAAGTACATTATCTTAATGGAACAACTCTTCTCTCTCTCTCAACTCTCAACCTAATAGAATATCAGTGATACTGCGGCTTCTCTGTTTCTACCAGAGCGCTGTTTTTTTTAAAATCACGTATTCTGTTTTGAAAAGTCGTATTTAGTCAACTGAGATTTCGGCCATACGACCTCAAGACTGATAACAATAAGTAGGCCGTGAGGTCATCTATCCCACCTAAAAAAAAAGAGTTTGTTTTACTTCAGTAATATTAAATTCAACTTCAACAACAGGTGATAAGACTGCTATCGAAGTGTTTTATGCGGCTTACTTTTGGAAATCGGTAGTAGAGATAAATTTATTTGTTTTTCAAGATGACCGCATACACGATTCTCAATGCCAAAAACATTGGTTATTAAACTTACACTTTTTTATTGCGTAACTCACTTGGGTTTTAGTGGTTACATAAACCCATAAACCCCGCCATGATATTCACCGCGTTGAGATGTTAAGGCGAAGTCGGAAACGTGTTCTACTCACTAACTGTGCTGAGCGTCTCAACTATGCCATCCTTAAAACTGGAACTCAAAACTGTTTCGCGGGAGAAATAAACAGATTTATGATTTCAGGAGGAAAAGCCGCGTCGAGTTAATGCGTATTTCTGCCGCCGTAATGGGCATAGAATTCTCATACGCCGGCGAAACCGCTTTCGTGTCTCCGACGTTACTACAGATTGGGGTACCGCATGAAGAAATGACATTAGTATGGGCTCTGTCACCGTTGATAGGGTTCTTCATGACTCCACTACTGGGTTCATTGAGTGACAGATGTCGTTCGAAGTTTGGGAGACGCAGGCCGTTTATAGTTTTACTATCGTTGGGCGTTTTTCTAGGTAAGTACTAAACGCTTGCGGTCGGCTTTTCAAAATCGAACATAATTTGAAAATTTAGTAATCCATTTAGTGTTGTTTTGTTGTAGGAGCCATACAAAATTATGGCACTTAGACCCTTTTCCATTAGTACCTACTTTAAGTTAAATTCTAATTTATTTTATTTATTTGATAAAAAAATACTACTAACTTAATCAATAGGACAGTAACATAAATCTTAGTTTCGTTTCAACACTTTCATACAAAATAAAATGCATACCGCAAGAGAAGTCGTAAAAAACACGCCTTATTTCATGAAAGAAGAACAAACGTTTGGCTCTGTGTTGTCAACAACCCTTGGTTGGCGTAAAAGGCGACTAAGAGAAACATCGGAGAACGGGTATCAACTCCGGTCACCGTCCTGGTCGAACCCGTCGCTTGCGACGAAGGGCTCGACGAGCGAATTAACCCATAGACACAGCTCACTGAGTTTCTCGCCGGATCTTCTCAGTGGGTCGCGTTTCCGATCCGGTGGTAGATTCTGCGAAGCACTGCTCTTGCTAGGGTCAGTTTTAGCAACACTCCAGTTTGAGCCCCGTGAGCTCACCTACACACGTTAAGGTGAAGCTGAAATAGCCTCTCAAGGCTATCAGCACAAGTAGGGAAAAAAAAGGTATCAACGTTCTCTGAATTTCATATCTGCGTACTCCACTGAACCGCTCAAAGCTGAGCTAAAAGAAAACCACAAAGCTGCAATTTCGAACAATCCTTTTTTTTAGGTTTAATTCTAGTGCCTAACGGAGAGTCAATAGGCTACCTGTTAGGCGACGAGTATTCATCGAATTCGACTACAACGCCCGCCGTGCTAGGACCCCGCAGTTCACTGGAAACTCCAGAAAAGAACTATCATCCCTGGGGCGTAGTGTTCACAGTTTTAGGAACTGTGTTCTTGGATTTCGACGCAGACGCCTGTCAGAGTCCAGCCCGGGCTTATCTCCTCGACGTGACAGTACCAGGTCAGTATCGCATACTATTCAAATTTACTTATGCTAATACTTAACCCATTAACATATTATAAGAGGTACTACTTTTCTTATATTATTTGAGGTGTACCGCGTGATCTTGAATTCCTTAAGAGCTCCTATCAAAAATAAAAATTTACACAATTTTAATTATTTTGATTGATTGGATCTCTAGTTGTCGTTCATAAAATTTTCTAGCTATCAAAGCCTAATTTCTTTCAAGGCCTTTTTATGATAATTATCCGTTATTCGTTCGGGAAGAAGATATGATTTAATTTATCAAATGTCACTTAGGTTTATGTGAGCTGATGCGGTGCGACTACTTAACTGAATTAATCTCGGAACAGAGCACTTTAACGATACTGAGACGCGTAATCTTCGACTTTGCAAACTCATAAATACAATAAGCAAACTCATTAACATAGATTAAAATTATTTATTTGTTCGGTGAATCACACGTCTCCTGGAATTAACGCGTGTAATTTTTCCCCGAAAACTTGAACGTAAACAGCGGTAGATAATTGTTAATTACATTCAGAACATTCTTCTGAAGCCTTAACCTAGTTTAATTGATACAATGAATTTTATTTCAATATTTGTACTTCAAACGTCACGGCATGTGACTGTGGACACAGCGATGAACCATGAAACATATTTTATCAGTGACGCCTGGACATGATTGATTTATCTCATTATTTCGGCTTTTTACAAACAACCACCGAAAGAATCGGTTAATACCTGTGCTTTATATGCATTCTGATTTTGATCGTAAAAAATCTTTTTTTTTGTTTCTTTGGAAAAAAATTCAAAGCGATATCACAGCCGATGAAAACGGAAGTGTAAGGATTACTCCATCTGATTCTAGTACTAACTAGCTCCACTTGTCAGTATTTGTTCCATTTACATTTGCTTGGGTGAAACTACTAGATATCAGGCCATCTGGTACTACGACCCACGACGATGCAGTCAGAGCTTCACTCATTACAATTTTATCTCCGATCTCACGTCTTTAGTTGGCAGACGACATTCACCTATAGGCCTTTTTATTCTTCTATCATGTTCTTTATTACACCTACCTCATTATCGACAGGGCGACTCCGTGCTAATCGATGTCTGGCTATTGGACGTAATTATATCTCTAATAAATGCGGTTCCAACAGACTGGTAGATCGCGTTACTTTTGTGTCCAGATATGCGTTGTCTACTGGGTCTCCAGAACATTCCTTACATAAGTAGCAAGGCCTGACATTCAACGCCGCGTATATTGTCGGGCATCGTCTATACGTCTAAAGCAATAAAAATAAAATAAAATTACTTCAAAATTGACACTAATCTAATTAAATCACCGAAAGTGGGCAGCGGCAGTGAAACTCTTTGGATTTTTATTCGAAATATTTCCATGGATTAACAGTCGGGGTTAATAGCTGATTCTGGTAGATAGAGGATTATTCCTGGATCCTGGATAGAGGATTTCTGGTCCTGGTCGGAGGTACCTGCTTTATAATGACATGTTAGGCGCGTTAAATTAGGATTTCAAAAACAATGAAACAATTTGCAAGATCCCGGGATAATGAGTAGCTCTCTTGTCACTCTCTTGTCCATAATTACCGTTAATTTGTTGGCTGTCAAATCGTTGACAAAAAGTGTCATATCTATTCATCCATGTTATAAATAATAATCTATCTAATAAGTCTAAATTTGGTATATACAGGGTGGGGACGGTTTTCTATTCAACGAAAACATAGCTTTTATTGCCCCGTATAAATAATACTTTACAATATAAATTAAGTAATGTCTACTAAAAAAAAAATATGCTTTTATATAGATAATATTACCTTACCACCCTGTAACGTCAGTCAAACGGGAGGCTATAAATTCAGATCATGCGTCTATTCTGCTATTTAAAAAAAATGTTGGCCTTGAAACATTACCTTCCGTGAATGGTGTAATTTATTAGAAAATCGTCATCCTCATCCTAAATTATAAATGGAATACAGATTGTCTTCGTTTCTCTACTTCCGTATAAATTGCGAACATTTAAAGAAAACACACATAATAAAAATAATTAGAAAGAGCTATAGTTTGTAATATAGACAAAGGCTTTTTGTTACTAAAATTTTATAGTACACTTAACATATTTTTCATCGAGTTTAAGGACATATCTTAAAAAAAAAAAGTCATTTAAATATATAAAAGAGCCTATTTCTTTCTTAGCATAGTGTACGTATCCTCTCAAATATTTGTATGAAGTTTAATATTCTGAGTAACTTACACATACACATGATATTAACCAAATAGATACGACATCTTCGCGTCTTATTCTTCGGAAGTTTGCTTGTTTTAGCTTCTTGTTATGTAGGACGGAATCATCTACAAACTAATATTTGATGTTTCCAAATATTTAGTTTAAGAATGTACCAGAGAGCGTTCTGTTATTTTAGTTCTGATTTTTTCATGTAAATTAAAGTATTTTTGATTCTGTTACTATATGCCATATGCACACAGGTAAATTTGTATTTTGTAAAAAAAACTTGACAACTGTTGCATTGTCTGTTATCGCGTAATTAGGAACAGCGTTCACGACGGGATTAGTTTTGACTAGCGGCCCGCCCCGGCTTCGCCTGGGAAGTAGCGCATGCGATGTAAAGAATTGTAATTTTTTTACACATTGGGTTACATTATTGGAGTTTCAGTGAGGATCCCTAATTTTTTTGAAAATATAATAAACATAGCCTATGTCACCCGGAGATAGCGTAGCTTTCCAACAGTGAAAGAATTTTTTAAATCGGTCCAGTAGTTTCGGAGCCTATTCAATACAAACAAACAAACAAATCTTTCCTCTTTATAATATTAGTATAGATTATAGGCATCCATTTTTTCCGTTGTATTTCCGTTATCCCTTGCAACGCATCATAAGGAAATTACTTTTTTGTTTCTACTTATGGTTATTCATTTATTTCTCCGTTTTTGGTTTTCTGATTTTTGTATTATTATTTATCTAATCTACATTTTCAAGCACCAAGATGACACAAACATTCAGTTTTATCCGTTTTTTCGGTATTTCCATAACAAATATCAAATTGGCATTCTTAAGAAAGTACAGAAACTATGGGTGAACGAACCGTGCATTGTGATAAAAAAGCCTACGATATTAATATATTTTCGTGATTACTCTTGGTAGGTTGTATTGTGGTCCTTTCGTAGGTACCACCAGGCTTGGAGAATGCACAGCCGTAACATGTTATGAAAACTTTGGGATCGTGTCCCGAGATGAATGAATCGCAAATCACGGAATTTTGTCCACTATCTAACATTATTCTAATAAATATGGTGACTAATGTTACAAAATACATTAAATCATACGGTTAAAAAGTGTGTGAAAAAGAAATTAAGACCAATAGATAAGTGTTCTGCATCTCGATCTAGTTTAGGCATGAGATATTTCACTGTTTCTTCTTCTTCTTCCTCCAAGCATTTTCACGGTCTAGTGCCAGAGTCCGCTTTCCCACTTAAACTCCTCCACTTTCCCGGCTTTCGGCATCCTTCTGGGTGAGGTTATTCTCCTTTATATCCCCCTTTACCACATTCAACCAAACATTTCACTGTCTATAACTTTACTTTTAACTTTAAAATTCAAGATTTCAATTACAATATATAAGTATTTGTCTACTGATATATTGATCAATAAACTGTTTCTGGGTAATATTTTTTCGTTTCAGAGGATCATGCAAAAGGACTAAGTACTTTTACGGTGATGGCCGGCCTGGGAGGTTTTATGGGATACGCACTCGGAGGCATCAACTGGGACGAAACTAAACTAGGTATTTAACAGTTATCAGTAGAGTACTGTAGACTACTTAATTGCATGAGAGCAAAATAGTTCATCAACACGAATATGAAGCAAACAAAAGAAGGTGTGTGGTGTCGTGGGACACCGGATAGGAACCAAGTTCCTTATTATAAAAATATTAATTTTAAGTTCTGTTCGAGGTGTAAAGAAAATAATTATTCGCGTATACATTTTTTATTATGATTTTTTTAATGATAAAAAAAACTACTTTACAAAGTTATCAACTTTATTCACAATAATTTATAAAAAATATATAATAAAAATATGCTATTTTTTGTACGTTATTACAAAGTTAAGTCGTACACTGTGTGCATTACTAATAAAAGTCTTACGTTACGGACGATTTTTCCCGGTTAGGGTACCCCTCCGCATCGTCCCAAAAGTAACTTCGTTCCAAAAATAGGAGCACAGTAGACACACAGCCAGCGTAAGATAACCATATTACAGTACCATCGAACGTTTCACCTCATAGCGCAAACTGAGCGGGTATTCGCCATCTGATGTGTATGGACTGCGGCAATCATCCACCACCAGGTTGACTGTTTGCTGGTTTTTTTATACCAGTGTGGCGGGTAGCCATCATACAACGCAAGATATTTGACAGATGCCTGAATCTCGCTTACGAAATTTTCAAGACAAGCTTGCATATATACAAGTTCCGAACAACAACATTCGGACCGTCGGTCCACCGAGCAATATCACCCGCTCGATGGAAGATCTTCCCTTTGTCGTAAGCCCCAAACCAGCGATGGGTGAACGAGTTCTACATCACACATCGTGTCGATCATAAGAAATAGGGGTGTTATATATTTGCACAGAGTGTACATAAAATTATATTAAAGGTTTATTGGTTACAATAACAATAATAATCGGGGACGAGTCACACACAGTCATTTGGCCCCAAAATAGTATTCTATGATAACCAGAGACTGATATAAATAATAAATACCCAGACAAATAGCAAACAAAGCTGTTCTTCGCACAAAAGTTGACCCGATCTGGGAATCGAACCCGAGACCCTCGTCACGTCCTCGCAGACAGAAGCACTAACTATTGCACCAGCGCATCAGTATAACAAAAGTAATGTAAATTTTCAGGCGAAATATTAGGGGGTCACGTTAGAGCGGTGTTTTCACTGATCACTGCTATATTCGTGGCGTGCGTCACCGCAACGGTGACCAGCTTCAAAGAGATACCGCTCGACAAGCTAAACGAACAAGATGAATTTAGGAAAATGGCTGAAAACGAGCGTGCTCAAGAAAGTTTCGATGAGGAACAGGCTCTCGATAAAATTAAGAAAGATAATTCTAGTTATGGAACAGTTGGCCAGTCTGAAGTAAGTTCTATCGATTCTTATGGGTAGCTAACAAAACATATCCTTTTTCAATTTTTAATTCATTTGAACTACATGATATACATTTTTTTTCCTTTTAATACACGTTAACATTTAGTAAAATTTATATATACGGTCTCATGAAGAAAGAAATACCAGGCAAGAAATACAATTAAAAGATAGTTCTACTATAATATAATCTATAGGTACTTATATATTGTCAATATAATTGTGAAAGTTTTTGTTTGTTATTGTTTGTATGTTTCTTACTGGGCTATTCGTGAGGTCGCTCGGGTAGGTACCACCACCCCGCTAATTGCTGCCGTGAACCAGTAATGCGTTTTGGTTTCGTTGGGGTAGCCGTTTTATAATAAAACTGTGGTTTAGAACTCATGTCTCAAAGGGAGTAGCGGCATTTCCTTTGTTCATGTCTATGGACTCCGGTTAACCAATTAGACTAGGTGGGCCATGAGCCTATCCACTCATGTAAGCAATTAACAAAATTTAGTCCACAATAAAAATGACAAGCGTTTTACTTAAAAAACCGTTTTAATAATAATAATATATTTAGTCTGTGTTTAGTATATAGTCTGTGGCCCAGAGAGTAACATAATCGATTTTTTTTATCCCAGAAAAATGCAAGGCAATGAATTTTTTACAAAATGAACCCGGAGAAAACCGCGGGGCACGTCTATCATTTGTACTCATTAACGTGTTCATTAAGATATAAGAGGTGATAATACTGAGATGTGCCATAATCGTAATGTCAATGAACTTCGTTCGTACGAAGACAGACGCTAATACCGCTTGAAATAATTAATGTTAACCAAAACACCTGGGATTCAAACTTCAGCACTTGAGACTCCGGGTTGTTGTCATCTACATAAAATTTATTATTATACATAATATTTAACAACTAAGATCCAAAGTTGGGCTTAATTTGATAATTAGAATTAACCGTTTTTAATGTTTATAATATTTGTAATACATATTATTACTACCAATTTGACGTTTGTTTTTTTAGACTAAATGATAAACGAATAGATTAACTCATTGAGTCAGTTATTGTAAAGAAATTAATAACCTTTTTTTTTCATTAATAAATTTTTTTTTAAGGAATCTATATATTTATATATAAATGAATTGCTGTTCGTTAGTGTCGCTAAAACTCAAGAACGACTGGACCGATTTGGCTAATTTGATACTGAATTATTTGTGGAAGTCCAGAGAAGGTTTAAAAGGTAGATAAATATGAAAATGCTCAGAATTAAATAAAAAGAACAATTTTGTTTTTCCTTAGATGTGTCCCCCGTCGAACGGATTCCTTTTGTTTGTTTTAAGTTTATTTTAAACAAAAGTTTAGGTATTTTATTTATTGATTGAGCACTACGAAGTCGAAGCCGGATCAGCTAGTACAAAAATTTAATCTTAATAATAGGACAGGTATCGCGCGAATATTTCCATTAAATTCCGTGTATTTTATACATTTAGCGCAAGTCACGGCCTGGCGTTGTAGGCTTTCATAATTGAGTTCTTTAACAGATATTACATTTTATGGATTACAGTCTGCAGAGGCCGGGAACACAATCAGCATATCGGACAGCCCACACGGCGCAGAGCCTCTCTCTTTGGGGCATTATCTCAAGTCGATTGTGGTGATGCCGGGCTCCCTTCGCATCGTTTGCCTCACTAATCTCTTCTGCTGGATGGCACACGTTTGCTATTCATTATACTTCACCGACTTCGTTGGCGAATCCGTCTTTGGAGGGAATCCAGCGGTAAGAAATTACCGTCATGAACTATTTAATTCTTTTTCAAACAAACTATTAGCTTATGTTTCCCATTTTAACAGTAATAAAAACAAAGCAATTACAATTAGAAATTATATCGTATCCCAAACTGATTGTTGGTAAATATAATTTTTTGTTTTTTTTTTTTCAATAATAAGACGAGCCTGCGACACAAATGTGTGAAAATCGTTACCACCAGCTATGGGCATCGACAATGCCAAAGGTAGACGAGAAAGAAGTCGTAGGTATATTGGTAGTAGGACGCCTTGTCAGTCGGCACGGATAGGTACCACCACCCTACCTAATTCTGCCGTGAAGCAGTAATGTGTTCGGTTTGAAGGAAGCCGTTGTATTGTTAAAACTGGGACCTTGGAACTCATGTCTCAAGGTGGGCGGTGGCATATACGTTGTAGATGTCTATCTACACTGTATCCGCTTAACACCAGGCGGGCCGTGCGCTCGTCCACCCACCTGAACAATCAAAAATAAAAATAAAAACATAAAAGCAATCATAAAACATAAACAAAATATTATCGTTTAATTTTTATTATGTTTGTTTATAAAATACCGATTTATTTTCATTCACTGTAGATAACAATACTGCCGTTATTTTGCTATCAAAATATTTTCAGGCGCCAGTTGGAAGTGAAGACCGCATCAACTACGAGGCAGGTGTAAGATTTGGGTGTTGGGGAATGGCGATGTATTCTCTATCCTGTGCGTGTTATTCTACAGTCATCGAAAGGCTTATCAAGAAACTTGGGTAAGTCTTATTATTGCAACAAGCGCGGAATGGAATAAATGCGAACCTACCTATGTAATTTTCTATTGAACTTGATCTTTACACTGTTGGTTGGATGGTTACTCGATTACTGTGCTTTTATGACTATACTCCCTGACCGCCAACTGATCATAGCATAGATTCCATCTCGGCAGACTTCGTAGTGCCTCAATCGATAAATACAAGACCTAAACTTTAGTATAAGATAACCTAAAACAAACAAAAGGAATCGGTGCGGCGGGGGACACATCAAAGGGAAAATAAAATTGTTATTTTTATTTAATTCCGCGCATTTTCATATTTATCTACCTTTTAAACCTTCTCTGGACTTCCACAAGTAATAATTCAAGTCCAAAATTAGCCAAATCGGGCCAGCCGTTCTCGAGTTTTAGCGAGACTAACGAACAGCAATTCATTTATACATATATAAGTAGATTCGAAACTTCGGCAATTATAAATATAATTACATTAAAAACGCGAAGTTAAACTACAAGACTAATTAATTCTAATTATGTCCAGGACTCCCGAAATTCAAAGAAAACTCTTGTGAAACATATTTTTTTCACTGTGGAAGTGACATTTTCTAATTTCAAATCTCATAAAACCGTTTAAAATTATTTTAAAGCAAGTTAAATTTTGATCTCGAGCATATATTGTCGCGTTTGAAATCAGTTGTCCTTAAACTTGACACGAGAAGTCTGTCTTCGTATTTCCTAGTGTTAACAAGATCAGAGAGACACCTTGACTTTAGTCTAGCTTCCCGGCTGGCACTTCATCGGTTTCGCAGATTTAAAAATCGATAAACTTTTTTTTTTTAGATTACTGCGTCTCTAAGCGTAATACACATTTTTATTGAATCGATAACCTATTAAGATTTAAGATATCGTTTTCGTACATTGTAGTCCGAATATTTAGATCGTTATTAATAAGTCTTAAAGTGTGTATTACGCAAGGAAGCATGTGGTCTTTGTAGTTTTTTTTTAAATAATTTTATGACCAGGTAACGTGACCTTTAAGCTAGTACTTTTTGGTACATTTCAAATTAAATTGTAAGTATTTGGTTTGTATTAAGTATTAATTGTAAGGTATAAACAAATGCTATTTAAAAAAATATAATTTACTGATGATGCTTAATGCGCCTTGCATTGCAACGGTAGCAAAGTGTAGCAACGGCAGCAACGGCAAAATCCGTTTATTTCTACTACGAAACAGTCATGGGTTTGAAGAGTTGGACAGCAGCTATACAATACAATGAGACTGACCTCGTATCTCAAAGTGTATGGCGGTACTCATATTGTAATGTCGCCCATTAATGTCGTAAAAAAACAGTCAAAGAAAATTTATTAAAATTCGTATCTTATAATACTACAAATGACAGTCTTAACAGACAGACCCTTTCTAATGCCATCGAGGCTGATGCATATATTGTTACGCCGGTAAGAGTAACGCCATCTATTGCCGAATAGCCAAAACGAATATTGAAGGTTATTAAAATCGAAAAGTACAACGCCATCTATTGTCAGATAGCAGAAACACACATCGAAGCTACTCGACTTGCCCAAAATGTACTCGATAAATCTAGGGTTATCGTATCGACTATAAAAGTTGCATCTCTGCACACAGTCAGTTAGTAATCGGAACTACTCGAAGCGAAACACCAAACGAATCACCTGAAGCGAAGCGAAAGAAGTGTATTGAGAATTTTAAAGGGTTTGTGAAGTGTTTTAAGTGTTCTAAGTGTTAAATAGTTTTAATATGTATTTCGGTAGCATTTTAATTTATCCCGAACCCCAGCGCGTAACAATATTAAGCTTTATTTAATCAATTTTTTTTTTAATTGTAGCGCCAAGAAGGTATATGTCGGCGGTCTATGTACGTATAGTTGCGGGATGCTGATGCTTTGCGTACTGCGGGATCCTGCTTCAGTACTTCTATTCAGTTGGACTGCGGGCGTCATGTATTCTACGCTGTTCACGATGCCATATCTACTGGTCGCACATTACCACGCCACGGGGATGGTCAGTACTTTTGTACTCTAATATCGGCTACAGTATTTTTATTTATTTATTGCATAGTAGGCAGACAAACGTACGGCTCCCTTGATGGTGTGTGGTTACCGTCGCCCATGGACTTCAGCAATGCCAGGGGCAGAGTCAAACCGCTGCCTACCGTTAAGTACTCTCCACAAGCCTCGTTTGAAGAAACACATGTTATAGCGCTCGGGAAACAACGTCTGTTCTAGCACACATGTGTATTTTTGGACACCATTTTTGATTGCTGTTGAATTAAAATCTTGCCAGATATTTGCAGGCCATGGTAAGTAGTCGTTGCCTCTAATGGTCATTACTAATACTAGGTTCATAAGCATTACGCTATTTATTGTCGAAAACACCTTTTATACCTGATTTGAGGAACGTCGGATTGTGTTCAAGACACAGACGTGAGATGCTCCAGGTACCAATAAAGAATTTTGTTTCGGATGTATAGAATATGTTATATAGAATAATAACTAAACTGAGACCTTCGAACTCATATCTCAAAGTGGGTGGCGGTATTTACGTTGTAGACGTCTATGGGCTCCAGTAACCACTTAACATCAAATATGGGTGGGGTGTGAGCTCGTCCAGTCTTGTGAGCAATAAAAAATAAAGAAAAAGAAACATGTTCTTAAATAATAAATAAATAAATATTTACTAACAATCACGCCACGTTAACTGGTCCCGTGATAAGTTCGTAAAGAACTTGTGTTACAGGTACCAGATAACGGATATAAATGTAAGATTTTTATTATACACATACATACCTAGTCAGGTCATAAATTCTGTCACATGTTTAATGTAAAATAATTGAAACAAGTTTATTCATTATGTAACCATTCATATACCAAAATGAACTTAATAAAACATAGATTCTTATGACACTAAAGTTTATTCAAAATGACCTCCGTGATTTTGAATACAGGCCTTCAATCTGCGCGGCCAGTCGTCTATCGCAGCACGAACGAGGTCCATGTCAATATCGGCGGCTGCCTTAATCAAGGATGTCTTGAGTGACTCCAAATTGGGATGAGGCTTTGAGCACGCCTTTTCCTCCAAGTGTTGCCATATCTTGTAATCTAACGGATTCAAATCTGGACTGGAGGAGGGCCAGTCTTCGTGCCGGATGAAGTCGATTTCACGCGCCGCCAGCCAGTCTTGTGTGCTCTTCGCTCTATGAGCTGGCGCCGAATCTTGTTGGAATACCCAGTGCCTGTTATTGAACATGGTATGAGAAACAGGTTCCACAAGGTTCGTCAGGACTGTATTTTGATACACAACTGCATTCGTTTTTACACCTTTCTCACAAAAATGTACCTCTGTTAAGCCCCAATAAGAAACTCCCAACCATACCATGAGCGAGGATGGAAAATGACCTCGTTGGACACGCGGAATACGGTTGCTCGCTTCTTCACTACTGTGTGCGTACACCTTATCATTTTGTTTGTTGTAGCTCTCTTCTACGGTAAAAATTTTTTCATCCGAAAAAAGAATTTCCCGATATTTTTTTCCCGCGTACCGCTTCAACAAAGCGCGGCATCTCTTCAGTCTCAGGTCCATTAGACGAGCATTCAAACGATGTCCTGTTTTTCTTCGATATGCCCGAAGCCCTAAGTCTTCATTTAACACCCTTTTCACCGTGGTTCTGCTTAACCCCATCTGAAGGGCCAACAGTTTCTGCTTACGTTTGGGATTTCTTTGAATTCGCGCCTTCACAGCTTTTATCACTGCTGGAGTCCTAACAGACCGAGGGCGACCACTTCTTGACCTGTCATCTACACTAGAGTCTTCATTGTATCGTTTGATGGTACGATAAACGAATCTTTTGGTTATATTCAAATTTTTCAGTATGTTAAAAATTTGAATTGGCGCGTAACCGCAACGATGCAACGCAATAACTGCAACACGGTCTTCTTTAAGCGTCCACTCCATATTTAAAAATGAGTAAAATTCTAAAAGTATACATTTTTATTTTCATGAACAATTCGAAATTCGAATTCAATAAACTTTTTTGTGGCCAGCATTCTAAAAGAAAAGTTTTTACTGTGTGACAATACTTATGACCTGACTAGTTATATTTAATATACATCCATAACCCTGGAAAAGACATTTATATTTATCTTCCCTTGGTGGGATTCGAACCCGCGACCACCTTGTGTAGTGACTATGTCACTTACCACTACACCAGACGGCCGTTAATGGGAATTAACAACTGTAAGTCTGGAAAAATGGCTATCATATAGATCGTTCGGTTTCGTTTTGTGTGCGGAGTGGTAGGAAAAACGTTATTGAATAAGTTTATGGTAAGGTCTTTCTAGAATATCATAGAATACTTGTTTCCGAACAAGCAAAACACCGAGAGGCAGCGGTTTGGCTGTGCCTCTGGCATTGCTGACATCCATGACAGTCTCACCGGACTCACCATCGAGTGGGCTGTATGCTCGTCATCGTCGGCATCATCGTCTACTAAAAAAATGCTTTTATTTAAAAAAAAAACACACACACACACATCAAATATATTTTACCACAATTTCCGATTACTATAATTATTTATTAACTTGTAACAGTGATGATTCAAATACCTATTTATTAATTTAGAAAACTAAACAATTATATATTTAACACAAGGTAACTTGTATAGGATCATAAATAATTCTACGCCACAATTGATGAGAGGCTATATGACTAAGTACCAAAGTTAAGCCTTCGAGTATTTACCGCATGAGCTAGCCTTTGATGTGTGTGGCCCGCATTATACGGTTATCATACTACTTACGATAAGTGTACTATACCAAGGCTTTATGATAGTATACGATAATATACATACTATATTCAAAGATTCGGTAGAGTCGTTTGGGTATTTCTAGTAAATTGTTCGGGAATTGTGTAGAAACAAGAAATCATATAAATGAATTAAGCTTTACATTAAATTTATTGGCAGTAAGGCGTCTCGTAAGCTTGCACAGATGGGTACCATTACCCTACTTATTTCGGCCACGATGCAGTAATGCGTTCCGGTTGTGTTATACAATTGAGACTTAAACCTCATTTCTCAAGGTAGATGGCGACATTCATGCCTGTCTATGGGTTCCGGTAACCACATAACGTCAAGTGGGCACTGAACTCGTTCACCCATTTAAGCGACAAATATAAAATAGTTTTTTTTCGTTGCTTAAGTTGGTGGACGATATCACGACCCACCTGATGTTAAGGGGCCACCGGAGCACATAGACATCTACAAAGTAAATGCAGCATGAGTTCTAAGGTTTTTACAGTACAACGGCTGTCCCACCCTTCAAACCGAAACGCAGTACTGCTTCACGGCAAGAATAGGCAGGGTGGCGGGGCGGTATCTACCCGTGCAGACTCACAATACGTCCTACCACCAGTTTCAATGCATTTTGTTTTCATTTGTGTGTTCTTAACGACTTGTTGGTTATTATCGCCTTAGTTCATCATACATATTACTCATAAATGTTATGTCGTGTAATCTGTAAATAAAATGGTTATTAATTACAAAAAGTATGAAAGAAATAAGCGGGAAAATAAAACCAGTCAGGCGCTTCGAAGAAAATGTAATTACTGTCTCAATTAACAATTCCTTCAGAGGGCTTTTCAGTAATTAGTTAACATAAATATGATAATGAGATGGCATTTACATTAATAAGCTTTCTAGAATAATATATTTATTACTGACTTCAAATTTGACTTACGAAAAATTACTGGTGTAGAGCGTCTTTTGAGCACGCACGAGAAGGTACTACCACCCTGTCTATTTCAGTCGTGAAGCAGTTACACGTTTTGAAGGATGGGACAGGCGTTATATTAAAAAAATATATGTTATATACTAAATAACTGAGACTTAGTTTACATAAGCACAATTATGTCGCTTGCGCTTGCGACGTTGAACACTAACTCTTGGATGAGTTGGGTTCTGTTTCCGACTGTAGCCAATGTATTGTGATTAAAAATATAAGCACAGATAAATAAAAATTGCTTGTCAAATTAAGTTTTTTTTTATTGCTTAAATGTTTCGACGAGCTCACAGCCCACCTGGTTTGTGTTCAGTGGTTACTGGAGCCCATAGACATCTACGACGTAAATGCCCCACCCACCTTGAAATATAAGTTCTAAGGTCTCAAGTATAGTTACAACGGCTGCCTCACCCTTCAAACCGAAACGCATTACTGCTTCACGACAAAAATAGGTTGGGTGGTGGTGCCTACCCGCGCGGACTCACAAGAGGTCCTACCACCAGTAATGAAACCGTTTTAATGATTCGTGAATTAAAAAAAACAAAAATCTCTTTCTGCAGTGGGATAGCTCCGGTGGAGGTTGCGGACAGGAACGCGGTATTGGCACAGATGTGGCTGTAGTGAGCAGTTGTGTGTTCGTAGCGCAAATGTTGGTCTCCATACTCATGGGACTGGCTTTGAAGGCCACAGGATCCACTGCAGCGGTAGTAGCAGTTGCGGCAACTTTAGCCGCCCTTGCTGCATTCACGGCCACGAAAATTACCTACTTAGATCTGTGAAATGGCGAAGAATCGCGCGGAAATAAATATAAGAATTTCATCGCTGTCAAACCAAAATCTGCTATGTGCAAAAAATATATTTAGAATTAACGAGTAAAAACATTTTCGAATTTTTTTTTATATAAAGGTGAATTTTTAAGAACTATATCATATGAAAGCTATAGATAAATATTAAAGTACAGTTTTTTTATACGGTAGATAGAACTATACGAAAAGGTCAAAAAGTAAAAATCTCAAAAACGGCACATAGCAGATTTTAGTTCGACCACGACGATTTGTTGATTTGCATTCGCCACAATTTTCCTCTTAATTCAGTTAATATTCGTACCGTGAGAATACTCAAAAGCTGTATGCGGTACGTGCGTACTTTCATTACAAAATGACTGCGACATGAATATGTAAATTTAATCAGTACTAGTTATTCAAATATGTGAAGCGCTTTATAAGCTTTCGTATGAAATGTAAATAAAAGTTAATTTAATATTTGTATCAACATTTTATTTAATATAAATAAGTTTAATTGGTCATATGCCCTCTACTTTGCAACTATGATATTTCAAGAATAAAAAAACAGGGGTTTGTGGGTATTATGAGAAACGATTTTATAATAGTTAATGCTTGTAAGATTTCTTATATTGTAAGCTGACAAATAATAAGATAAAATATATCAAAGATTCATTTATCTATTTTATTTCTTGTAATATAATAAGATATCTTTATTACAATTATATTCAGAATTAGAATTAAAATATTCCGATTGAAGGCTTAAAAAATAAATTCTCATTCATTGTAATTCTCTACATAATTTGCAACTATATTCAATATGTCTGTCTTAGTTTGTGTTTGTTATTCTGTAACACCTTAGCAGATGCAAATATTACAATTCAATTTAAATTACTGTGTTTCTTGACTGTAATTTAGTAAAAACTAACAAAGTTGTTGTATTATGATATAATTTCTGAACTGGTTAAATGATATATGGTTATAGATAGGTTAATTCATTATCATAGAGTTAGTATACTAGCAAGCATTTCTAATAGAACTAGCCGTGATTTTTTTTATTGCGTTTGTATGCAGATGATAATATGGCCCACCCGATGGTAAGTACTACTGACACGCATGGACGTCAGTAATGCCAGGAACATAGCCAAGTAGCTGTCTATCGGAAGTAGTAATCGTCATTAATATTTATTAACATAAACTAGTCAAATTCTATACTCACCAGATCCACTCACGCAATATGTTTCAGGCAACGCTTCAGATGAATAGTTAATGAACAGTGAGGGAGGAACGAATTTCTCGTGTTAGATTTAAAGAATAATGTTGAAAAAAAAAACAACATTATTCTTTAAATCTAACACAAGAAATTCGTTCCTCCCAATGTTGAAGTTAGCATATTTATGTATTAAGTGTATTGTGTATAATAACCTCAATTGCAAACGCTTCTTGATAAAATCGTGATAATGAAGTGTATTTGTTAATCTGTTGTTTGTTGTAGTCAACGATTAAGAAATAAATGTTGTTACAGATGAAAGTAATCGTTTCATATTTTATTTTTCACAAATCACCTGTGTGAGTGTTGGCAGTTAGTCGCTGGTAATTGGAGCCTTGTGAAGTCTTTGACTACTTTCAACTTTCTTCAACCAATATATAGTTTCCTCTAGGCATTGAGGCAATTAAAAATCTATTTTCCTTCAGCGAATGTTCACGAATCAAAAGTCAAACTATTATAACATTAATACTTACCCCGTACAATTTTTGTCGTGATGATAGAGATTAATGATACTGATGAAATAAAAAAACAATCAAACAAACACCCATTTTAAGTGTGTTAAAAAACAAATGTCGGATCTTTAACGAGCGTATCTATATATATAAAAATGAGTTGCTGTTCGTTAGTCTCGCTAAAACTCGAAAACGGCTGGACTGATTTGGCAAATTTTGGTCTTGAATTATTTGAGGAAGTCCAGAGAAGGTTTAAAAGATAGATAAATATGAAAATGCTCGGAATTAAATAAAAATAACAATTTTGTTTTTCCTTTGATGTGTCCCCCGTTGGACGGATTCCTTTTGTTTGTTTTAAGTTTATTTTATACAAAAATCTAGGTCTTTTATTTAACGATTGAGGCACTACGAAGTCTGCCGGGTCAGCTAGGCACGTATAAAAATTAAATTACATTAAATAGAATTAAATTAATTGAATTAATTTAAATTACTATTAGTTATCAAATCTTGGAGACAATATGCATTTGTTTCTTCACGAGTGTCGTGATGGTCCAGAAATAGACATCCGATTGCTAAGCTAAGTATTCTGTATGCGGAACACATGCGAAACAAAGCAAGTTTCTCGGTGAGACACAGGTAGAACTTTCAAAATTTATAACGTTCGCTCTTTTACTTATCTTAATACACATAAAGTTAAACCAAGCCGAAATATTTATGCTTTTCTGTTCCGTTCCCACGGTTTACAGGTGATTGAATAAAAAAAAGAACTGTAAATTATCTAAAGTTCCATAAAAGCTACACAAATTATGGTCGCATCGCTGAGCTTTATAGTGTCTTGTAGAATCATCATTAACAAACTAAATATAATGTACGTTTTACTAGATAAGTAAACTTTGACGACATTTTGATGATCTCAAATTAATATGTACAAATAGGTCATAAAATGATTACGGTAATTTCGTTAATAACAATTCTAAGCTGATTCACAATTAAAAATTTAAATTCACAAACGTAGCGATGGTACTGTAATGATTAGCTGAAAGGACAAGAGCCTACATGGATTGGTTCGTTGCTCCAAAATAATCATGCGTTCTCATTTGAGGTGCAAAGCAGTCTAGTATCTTAGTGGAACTGAGATAACGGTACGGTATCTTGAGGTCGCTGTCTATGGTAATGTTCGTTGGCTCCCATAGACGCTCAATACCGAGTGGATTGTGAGCACGCCTATCCTTAATGCCAGCAGGGCCAATGATGAGCCCAAATGGCTTGGTGTCACCACTCTACTTATTTCTGCCTTGAGCTAATCATAATGCAAATGAGGACTTAAAATTTCATAGCTTAAGATTAGATTAGTATGGCTTTCACCGCAGACCGGTATTTTGCGTGGACTCATCTGTGTCTATGGAAAAAATCTATTTGAGTGTAGTTTCAATTACGTCTACGTTTTCTAGAGTCGTGCTGAAAATGTCTATAAGTTAGTATAGATGTTAGTATAGATTAATGTCTAAGCCTAAAATGAGGCGGTACATTTTACAAAAACACTGTTCAATTTATCTTTCCTAACTCCGCTTTCGTAGTTAGCGAGAGTTTCCGCAAAGTTTAACGTGCCCGTATACAGCCACCCCACCTGGCTATTACAGAAGAAATATTATCCAATGTACAACGTGTTCCAGGAACTTTTTTTGCCCACTTATCTCTCAGTAGCCTAGAAGGGCTATTCTGGCTTGACCATGACTGTTTGCTGCGCTCATGGGGCTCGGCCTGGAATAATATGCTAACATCTGCCCTAACGATAGCTGTACTTCGCTGAATCTATCATCGGATCGATATTGCGATCCTCTGAGAAAATCTAACGAGAAACTCAATGGGCTGGGCTTATCATTGACATGACCAATTAAAATTCTTAATTTAAAGTCTGGGCTATGAAGCAGCTGTAATTAGCGTCAGAACCTTAGCTCTTCAGGTCAATTCTGCGTCGTCCACTATTTTTTGCTGCATTTATCAATCCGAATACACTTTCTATGAGATTTGGCGCCGCGCCATGCAGATAGGGTTGTAAAAGATAAAACAAACCATAACATAGTAATGTAGGAAGTACATATCGGCATTTGAAGAAATGAGATGTAAGCAAGATGGATCATGACATGACCCTAGAGCAGTTCAGTTTACCTGTAACAGGACCATTCTGAAGGAAAAGGAAGCTTGATCATTCTGATGACCCTCTTTTTGTCAACCCGCGTCCATCCAATGCTGTGTGTAGGTCTCTTCGAAAGTACCTCATTCTCTTCAGTCTCTTGCCTTTCGCATCCAGCCCCTGCCAACCACTTTGACCAGTACATCTTTACACCTAATGACCCTGTCTAAAATTAAAAATTAAATCGAAAAGATTAAAAAAAGACGAATACTGTTTTTTTTCGCTCTAACTTTTTTTTTTTTATTGCCTTTGTAGGCAGACGAGCATACGGCCCACCTGATGGTGAATGGTTACCATCGCCCATGGACTTCAGCAATGCCAAGGGCAGAGCCAAGCCGCTGCCTACCGAACTCCAAAAAAAATTATTGTCCAATAAAGACTTGTAGTCAATTCTCGGAGGTGATTATTTTAGATTGGCTGATTCTCCACAGTAATATACTATCCACAGAGTGTTCGCGTTGTTCTAATGTTGGTGGTTTTTTTTTGTTTTTTTTTTTTTTCCACAGGAGAAAATCGCCGGATCCCCACCCGCGCGGCAGGTGGGATATGTGGGAGTTGAACCTCACTAAAAACTCCTGCCGCTCACAACCGGCGCCCTACCTCGGACCGGGCCGGAGCCCAGTCGGGGCTATTGAAACGGCGGGACAGGGTTGACGCAGAGCACATTACATCCATCCCAGCGCCCCACGGACGCCGGACCGGCGGCCGCCAGCGACACGACCACCAGTTCCCTCGTTCAGCGGGCCGAGAGCCCGCTTTGATGGCGCCGCGTTACACCTTCCCCCAGAGCGGTCGGGGGAACGCGGTCTACCATCACCCGGCTTCCTACTGCGGGTGAGCGTGCAAAGCACGCCACCCCACGTCTGGGTCTCTCCCCGCACAAAACGGGTGGGACCCCTAGCTCTTAGGGGGCCAGGTCACGGATACNCCCAATAACCCCAATAAAACTAAAGGTCAAGAAAAGACATTTAACATCTGTTTAACAACAGGAACATCGAAATGTAAAGGCAATTTATGGTGTCTTGACAGTGGCTGTACGTCACATATGACGGGTGATAAAAGTATACTCCATAATTTAATCCCCGCGACTGACACTCTAAAGCTAGCTTCAGATAAACATACGACCGAAGTTAAAAGGAAATCACCTACACGTATTCGGAAATAGAGCGTTTGTGATGAACAAAAACCGAAGAGGAAAATTCACAGCAAAAGCGACAGAAGGAGTATTCTTGGGATATGCGGAATATACAAAAGGTTTTAGAATATATATACCCGAAAGGAATGATGTTGTTATCAGCAGAGATGTAAAAGTAGTCGAAAAGATGCATTATAGCGGCTATAGCAATTAATTAAAACGTAAATTAAATACTTGAAAACATTGTGTTGACTTGTATATAATTAATTATATTTTCTCTTATATACAAGTCAACACAATGTTTTCAAGTATTTAATTTACGTTTTAATTAATTGCTATAGCCGCTAGTCCACCCTATCAGCATCGACGCCACGACGCCAGGCAGCGACAAGTCAGGTCCTATCTTTGCGACCAGGACACGGCGCTGCACCTCCCAAGCGGGGCAGACAGCGAGCGTATGCTCCGCCGTGTCCAGGTCGTGTCCACAATGGTGACACCTCGTCGTCGGCTCAGCCCCTATCCGGCGCAGATACGTCCCGAAGCATCCGTGCCCGGTCAGCACCTGCACCAGATGAAAGGTGAGACGTCCTTCGCCACGATTCACCCAGTCATCAAAGACTAGGTAAACCGCCCCGACGGTCCGTAGCCCCCACGTGGGGTTGGCCAATCGCCTCGACCACGACTCGAGCACGGACCGCCGAGAATGGGCCTTCCGCGCCCGCAGCTCACTTTCGGGGAGACGCGCCACGCCCCGAGCACGAAGCTCGCTGCGCCACCGATAGTTGGCAGCGAGCGACTCCGCCTCCAGCTCCCATGGCGGCGTCCCCGCCAACACACACTCCGCCTCGAAGGAGACGGTGCGATATCCGCGGATGACCCTGATGGCAACGGTGCGCTGCGGCCGGCGCAGGAACCGAGCCATAGTGGCCCGGTTGCGCGGCTAATGTTGGTGGTTGGTAGTAATTAAGAGGAGAAGATGAAATCGGAATCAATGAGTATCGCATATCGTATCGTAACGTATTCGTCTGCGGAAGCACACTTGAAAACTTTAAGTTCGACGAAGCTGTCCTCGTGTGACCAAGAGGCCGATACGGAGAAACTGACATACAGTAAAAGTTGATGTTAAAATTTTGATCATTAGGCAAGTATCATATCAGTTCTTGTAAATTCATGATGCGTTATAATATTTTCGAACTAAACACAGATATGAATAAAAACTAAAAATCGTTCTAGCTTTCTCTAGATACACATTTAAAGAATAAGAATTTTAGAAAGATAAGGGGTCCTGATTAGCGAGTAGTCCTGAGAGAGTTAGTTTTTTATTTATTTTTTATTGCCCTAGTTGGCAGACGAGCGCACGGTCCACCTGACCGTGAGTGGTTACCGTCGCCCATGGACTGCAGCAACGCCAGGGACATAACCAAGCCGCTGCCTAGCGTAAAGTTTTACCGTAAGAGTTCTTTTTTCTTTTTATTGCTTATATTGGTGGACGAACTCACAGCCCACCTGGTATTAAGTGGTTATTAGAGCCCATATACGTCTACAACGTAAATGCGCCACCCACCTTGAGATATAAGTTCTAAGGTCTCAAGTATAGTTACAACGGCTGCCCGACCCTTCAAACTGAAACGCATTGCTGCTTCACGGCAGAAATAGGCGCGGTAGTGGTACCTACCCGCGCGGACTCACAAGAGGTCCTACCACCAGTAATTTTTTTCCGAAATTATAGCGCAATTATTATTCATTTACATTACCCTGCTTGCTCTGATTCCGTATTCCCTTTCGGCAAGACATCAAGCCTCTAATTTAGTATAAATCAAAAGCATTTAATTACTATCTACGCTTACTCGTTAGTGTGTTAAATTACAGAAAGGCGTTCTCTAGCATTTACGGTCCGTTTGATTTAGTCGTATATAATGGATCCAAGATCGTTTTCGTATTACAAAAGCGATTTCGATGAGCAATGGAGCTCTTGAAATGTGCATGGAGGAAAGTATCCCATACAAGAGCTTTGGAACAATCCAGTGGACGGCTCGAATCGCTATTCTTTGAGTCTGTTTATCGAGTCACTTACATAACTGGTAGGATTAGATTTTTCATCAGAGTTTTTACGTATTTGAGCACAATCAAATGACATAAATAGGTCTTTTTAAAGAATTTTAGAACTCAAATTCAACACATTTTTTTTGTTGTAGTCTATAAGAATCAAATATACAGGGTGTCCCAGAAACAATGGATAATCTTAAAATACCTCATAGTAGAGCTATTGGGAACAAAAAAAACCTCAGTTAGTACCCAAATTACGTTTTTTTTTTAAAGTTGATATTTTCCATACTGCTGTGCGTTTCTGGAATATACAACAGCTACAAATATATGAAATCCATAAGCTTTTTGGTGTTATAATATTCTACATGGACTATATACTAAGGAATATGCAGGAAATCGTATGAGCAGCTAGTGTAATTTTTTATAAAATTTAATCTGGACTCGAATTTTAGTCATGAAATTTAGTATTTTTTCTTTATTTTTAATTTGGGTAATACCTTTTTTTTTTTTTTTTTTTTTCGGGTAGAGGGCCGAACCTCCTACGAGGTCCCCGCGCCAAAGGGGCGCGCGGGGTATGTGAGACTCAACGATCTGCATGGTGTTGTGAGCAGACCGCGGGCCCAAGGATTTTAGGACCCACCCACTAAACGACTCCCCTGCACTCTTACACCCGACGTCCGATCCCCTCCGAGGTCAGAACCCGGATGAGGTAGGGGGGCTACCGCGGTCAACACTACAACCAGACGGCGCGGCTCACCCCAAGGACGCCCAGCCGACGGAGCCTTCGAGGCGAATCGAAGGCTCTGAAACGTCGGCCGTCTCGGTACGGCAGCCCGTCGGGCCGCCCAGACGGTGCCGCTGGTGTCCCGGAATACCCCGCTGGACCAGAACCAGCCTGCCGGGTCGGGACGCGATACACCGTCGACCGGTCGCTCTATTCACTCCACGGCAGCGCGCTAGAGTGCTGGTAGCGCGCCGCGCGGCCTCACCCCCTCAGGTCGCCCCTTGACCTTCACCGGGGGGAGGCCGCCACCTACAGGGGCCGGGACGTACGGGCGTATTCCCGCCTCCGGCCCCCGGCTCGACGGCGACGGATCGGTGCGGAAAGGGAAGAGCTCTCCCTCTCTCGCTCCGCCGCCTCCTTCTGCGAGATGGTGGACTCGCAGAAGTCGAGCATCGCCTTCCAGGACGCGTCGCTGCCAAGCATCGTAGCCACGATTTGGGTAATACCTAAGAAATTTTTATTTTTATTTTGAGTCCCCAATAGCTCTACTATGAGGTGTTTCAGGATTATCCATTCTTTCTGGCACACCCTGTATAAGTTTTTTTTTTCTTGAAAATCCTATCATATCTCCAATTTTGAACTAAATTATGAATTAGAACATGCCTTCAATTTATGTTTTCAATTTATTCTTTTTCGGCAGGATTGTCTTCATCCGATCGGACTATCATATACTTGGTGTACAGTATCTCGGTGAAACTTATGATCCTCCTCCTGGTGTGCGGCGAAGTGTGGTACAGTATCAGCGAGACATCAAGCTTAGACGAAATCGCGGCTGGGATCAACGCGACCCTAATACAGTTCATAGCCATATACAGATACAAGAATATGGTAAATTAAACTACGTAATTCTTAATTTAGATTTTACGTACAGCGTGTAACAGTACAACTGTAGACATGGGCTAAGCATTATGATGTCATGTCTTAGTTTAAATAAATTGTCATTGACAAATTGTTCAAACTCATCACGTAGACATGCAGTAATCGACCGAATAAAAACAACAACGTAATTAATTAATTCCATAATGATGTAGTTAGTGACATTAGTTTAGAAACTGTTACTTTGTTACATAAAATGTGATTATTTATACTTTTATACTACAGAATTAAAATTGATTTTACGTAAATAAGTTAGTCAGGCACTGAATAGGGATACCGTGCTAAATTTATACGTAATAGGAAGATTTCTTGTTGCGGTGAAGTAATTATGCATTCAAATTTCGACTTTATGCCTCAAACTGGATGATCGATTTCAAGTTGTAGTGTCTACGGTTCCTATTACCCCTAAACACCAGTTGGAACGTTGGACTTCGTTATTGCGTCTACATGAACAAAATTGGTTTGATGTCGTCGCGCCCTAAAGGATAGGACGTCCGATGTACTTGTAACAAGTGATGCGACTAAATCAGTCTTCATATCCCGCAGACTGGAACTAATTTTTCTAAGAAAAAACATAGATAATTATGTAAATTCACGAACGATCTTTGACGACGGTGAATACGTCGTCTACTAAAAATCAAAATCGCAAAATTTATAAATTTACGTAAATATTATTGGCAGTCGTATGAGCTCGCACGAGTAGGTACCACTATCCTGCCTATTTGTGACGCAAAGCAGTTATACATTCCGTTTTAAAGGATGGGATAGCTGTAATCGACTTCAACCTTGTATCTCAAAGTGGCTTAGGACGTCATTGACGTTGTGATATGTAAGGAAATCCGGCGAGCAGTGAACAACAGTTTTTACTGGTAGTAGGACATCTTGTAAGTCCGCACGGGTAGGTACCACCATCCTGCCTGAAGCAGTAATGCGTTTCGGTTTGAAGGGTGGGGCAGCCGTTGTACTGTTTAAAGTGAGACCTTACCACTCATGTCTCAAAGGCGGCATTTACGTTGTAGATGTCTATGGGCTCCGGTAACCACTAAACACCAGTTGGGTCGTGAGCTCGTCCACCCATCTCAGCAATTAAAAAAAATGGGTTCTGAGTTCTTTAATTAACCTATGCAATTAAAAAAAGTCCCTTTCTACTCTACGTAGTAAAATAACGCTGCGTAAGTCTATTTCTCTATAAATATAGTTAATTTATAACATTAGTAATGGAAATCACTTTTAGATCGACCATAAAGATATGTACAAGAGATTCGCGACTTCAATGGAGTCCCCGCACTTTGATACGTCAACCGATAAAAGGAAAAAGTTAGTCGTCTTCTGGGCTGAGAGAAACGAAAAATATCTGAAGTTGTTACTGGCCTTAGGGAATTGTACCCTTGCTGCTTGGTAATAAGTTTTAGCTAATAAAACTACGTATTCGTCCATCCAATTTCATCTCTTTGAACGGATTTTCTTGAAGCCTCGCAGTTTTGAACTTTCAGAGAGACGTAATCTAGTTCGTGCAGCTTACGCTAAAGAATATAGAATCCGTCTAGTGTAGTGGTAAGTGACATGGTCACTACACTAGGGGGTCGCGGGTTCGAATCCCGCCAAGGGAAGATATTTGTATGATAAATATAAATGTCTTTTCCAGGGTTATGGATGTATATTAAATATATGTATGTGTATAATAAAAATCTTACATTTATTTCCGTTATCTGGTACCTGTAACACAAGTTCTTTACGAACTTATCACGGGACCAGTTAACGTGCCGTGATTGTTAGTAAAATATATTTAAAAAAAATATACAAATATACATATTTAAAAATATACATATACATATTTAAAATTTAAATATACTTTAAAAATCTGCTATTATTAAAGAAAACATTATGTATTCAGTTAATTGACGTTAGATTCTTAGACTTATCATTACTTACAGGTTTTCGAATGTTTCATATTTTCCTATTTCCCTATCGAATAAAACAAATCTCGAATATGAGTTCGGCTTATAAAGTAAATATACTATTACTATTTTTTTATTACCACTAGATAGACCATGCAGATAGGAGATGAGAAAGGTACCACCACTAGGGAACACAACTCAGCTAACTCAACTTTTCCTGATGAAAATCTGACATCAAATTAGATTATTGTTTTTGCAGAAACAGATTGCTAAGTTGCAGAATAGAAAAAAAAAACTTGATAGACCATACTGCCCACCAGATGGTAAGTGGTCACCGTCGGTCATGGGCGTCATCAATGGCAGAGGCACAGGCAAGCCGTGCCTCCATACTACCGATCAAAATTAAAGTAACACAAAAAAATATAATTGCCATTCCGATTGATACATAAATACAATTTTCTTTACATCTATACTTAATATTATAAAGAGTTGTTTGTTTTTTTGTATTGAATAGGCTCCGAAACTACTGAACCGATTTGAAAAATTCTTTGACTGTTTCGAAGCTACACTATTCCCGAGTGACAAGGCTATTTATAATCTTTTTTTTTTAAATTAGAGATCCTTACTAAAACTTTAATAATCTAACCCGAGGTGTAAAGAAATTACCTAAAATATTATTTATATCGCGTGCCCTGCGAAAACTATTGATGATAGAATAAAATAATGTACTACGACTTTGTGACTGACGAAAAATAAAACAACGTCAAACATCGTTGAAATTTTTGTTAAATACCCGAGCGCAGCGGGAGCGGGCCGCTAGTTTTATATAAAAATAATCTATTAGAGCTTTCTATGCGCTTGCAATTGGCACGTCATTAAAAGTTTCCGAAGTAAACGTCGCCTTCGCCAGTCTTTTCGTCGAATGAGTTTTTTTTTTTACTTTTAAAGCCTGTCGACTTCAGTGCGATTCAATTTATTTTATTATTAAATTTTAGGTTCTTATATCCTCTGGTGGATGAGCTAGACTACAATTTGATTGTTGGCGTGCATCTGCCTTTCGAATACAAAACGCCGTCACGGTACCCCCTCGCTTACATCACAGTGGTTATCGCATTCATCTATGTATCGTATTTTGTGATGGTCACCGATCTAATCATGCAGGCCCATCTTCTTCATTTGCTATGCCAGTTCAATGTTCTCGCCGACTGCTTCGAAAACATGCTGAATGATTGTGTTAAAGGATTCGAAGGTACGTAGCCGATTTTGTTTAAATATTTTATTGGACTAATCACAAGGTTATTGAAAGTCAGTGATTTCCATATCGATATGGATATATCCAGCTGTTTCATGACGTGAATACGACCACCTACCTTGAGACTATGTTAAAATATCATTTGTATTGTATAGCGGTTTTCCCACCCTACGAATCGAATGAAAAAGAAATGGTACCTACCTCTAGTGGCTGTACAATATGAACTATACTTGAGACCTTAAAACTTATATCTCAAGGTGTGTGGCGCATTTACGTTGTAGATGTCTATGGGCTCCAGTCACCACTTAACACCAGGTGGGCTGTGAGCTCGTCCACACATCAAAGCAATAAAAAAAAAAAGATTACTTTTTAGGATAGCCGTTATCTGATAGGCTCTGGTAAACGCTTAACACCAGATAGGGCAGTGAGATGGTTCGCTCACCTGAAAAATGAGTTATACTTTTAGTCTTAAAGACGCCTATCGGGTCGGCTAGTCATTAGAAACATCCCTAATTCCAACCCCGGGTTCCAACTTGAAGTTCTTTCTCAAAGTTTCAAAATGCCTTTATAGGGCTATTTACTTTACAAAAGATTATATAGAAAATATACTTTTATTGTCTATTGTTTGTTTCCATAGTGGTTTTAGATTATCACGAGCTACCATAAAAACCATTTCGATTTTTTTGTTTCTAACATATATATTTTTTTTAAAGATACCGAAAATGATGACCCGAGCTGGCACAATCTCTGATATTTTTCGCAATTTTAATTTCGCACATACAAAAGTGAAATTTTATTGACGTAAACAAAAGCGAATTGTCAATATTATTTAATTCTCAGAAACGTTTGCAGGCATACCGTTATTAAGGTTATTGAAGAATAAACAGTTTACGACCAAATACACCAAGAGATTGGGCAATCTGGTTGAACAGCACAATCGAATTCTGAAGTAAGTGGTCATTAAATATATTTATAGCGATATTTCATACCTTTTGGCGTCTGTTTGCTGAAAATATTTAACGAAAGCATGACGCATATACTGAACAAGCCCTAAAAAAGTGTGATTTAAACATTAAAAGCATGAAGAGAGTATATTTTATTAACAAAATCTATCCTGCTACTAATCGGGTACGGGTTTACAACTTCAGTCTCCTTGGGGATTTACTACTAATGCTCGACCGTTGAAAGAATGCGTTCAACAAACGAGCAATAAAATGTGAAGTGGCGTTGGCTGGTGGTAGAACCTCTTTTGAGTCCGCACGAGTAGGTACCACCGCCCCGCCTATTTCTGCCGTGAAGCAGTAATGCGTTTCGGTTTAAAGGGCGGGACAGCTATACTGAGACTTTAGAACTTATATCTCAAGGTGGGTGGCGAATTTACGTTGTAGATGCCTATGGGCTCCAGTAAACACTTAACACCAGGTGGGCTGTGAGCTCGTCCACCCATGTAAGCAATAAGAAAAAACGATTCATTTTATTCTTTACTAGTCAAACCCGGCCGGATTTGCTGGCTGATCGTTGATTAGCTTTGATCCGGTCGTTACTAACACATCACAGGGTCATCCGCTAGGCCATTCTGAAAATTTCATTAAAATCGGTTCAGATGTTTCGGAATCTATATATAGAGTACATACAAACATAAAATTGTATCAATATAATTTATAGTTGCCCTTCCAGCGAATACTAACCCTTAAAAAGATGTAAACATTTATTAAGTGATGCGGTCGTGAACTCACCCTGCTTATTTATGCTATTAAAAAATATAAAAAAAATACAATATAAAGAACCCACACACATATATTGTGGTTTTTCATAGCCGAAGTCTATTCTGACAGCAAGATACCGAATACCGCAACCCAATATGAGATCTTTCCTTGTTTTATAGCAGAGCTTGATTGCTTTGTAATGAAACTAATCGGATTATTGTACCAACAAAATGAACAGAATGAATTTAATTAATGTTTTTGAACTGTGTTACTTTCTTATCCGTAAATTAGTTAACAAATAAAAACTGCTTAGTCATTTTAATTGACTAAATATCTTACATTCTGTTAAGATAGAGAAATACGACAGATAAAATATACCAAGTTCGCTTTTTTAGTTTATCACTTCAGAGGGAAAACACTGGTAGAAATAATGTTAACGGAAAAAGAGAAAATATTTTAAAGTTTTAATTTCTAAATATTTTTAACATTATGAATTAGTTAGGTATTATCTACCTATTCCTGTAATGAAGATAACGTTTACACATAGCTGAGAAGTGAGACGCGTTTTACAATTTCATTGAAAATTCCACTTCATATCTAAAGGTTTCAGTCTCATATTTATGGACTACGATAACCCCTTAATACCGGAAGCATCAGTTGTTTATCTAAAAATTAAATAAATTTTTTACTTTTTTTTTTTTAAACCAATATATGACTTTCTATTGTATTGGATTTTAACACAAGCGTTGAATCAAAAATATTTCATTCGTGTGCGTTTTGGTTCATATAACAATTTACGTAACGCACAAGGATTGCGGCGTTTGGTATATCTTTGATACGTGCTCTCATAACACATAATCCGATGGAATCCACCTATTTACCTTCAAAGATTACGTGAAACGTTCGCAGGAGACGGAAAAGGCTCACTTTACTTGTTTAAAGTGATCCAAATTTAATTGTTCGTGATCAAAACATAGCCACGTGATGCGTCAATGTGACAAAAATATCTTTAGAACTAGAATTGTCTTGAGTGCAATGAGGGACTGCCACTGAATCCGTTCTGGGATGAGGCAAAATTTTAATACAAAGATGCACCAAGGAGTTTTTAGATGAAACTAAAGTAGACAAAACCAGATTTGTTATCAAAAATAAGTCTGACGGTCTACCTGGTATAAATGTTTGCGTAATGTAACGGTGTTTTCCGAGCGCTATGACATGTCCTTCTTCAAACGAGGCTTGCGGAGAGTACTTAATGGCAGGCAGCGGCTTGGCTCTGCCCCTGGCATTGATGAAATCCATGACTGACGGTGACCACTTACCATCAGGTGGGCCGTATGCTCGTCTGCCCACAAAGGCAATACAAAAAAACACTCAACTCAACAACTCATGCGTTCCGTTTTGAAGGGTAAGACAGCTGATGATGCAATTGAGACTGCGACCTCATGTCTCTAAGTCATTGGCGGCGTTCACGTGATGACGTCTATGGGCTCCAATAACGACTTAACACTAGGTCAGCCCTGATCTCCATCACGCGTCTATACAATAAATAATCTTGTGAAGCGCCTTCCTTTAGAAATTAAAACTTGAAACAGTGTGCTGTTTTTAAATAATTGAAATCAATTCTTTTTTTTTTCTTATAAATTTTTAGCAACACAATAAGTTTAAGGGATACACTAAGCTATCCAATGTTGGGACAATTGGCAGCTAGCGGAACTCTAATTTGCTTTATCGGATACCAAGCTACAACGGTGAGAAATTGAATTTAAATTGAATTTAGAAATTTCGTGAGGACGCCGAAATGAGTTTTAGACTTCTATCTGAATGTTAAACAATGTTTTATCAGACTATACCTAAAACCTAAGGGTATATTTGAAGATGAGCAGTGAGAATAATTGCAGCATATTTCGAAACATTAAAAGTGCTTTTTATAGGAATCACAGTTAATCTCCATAACCGCAAAGTGGTTCAGAACACCCAAAAAACATATTAAGTCTTAGAGAGTAGTGAAAAACAATGACTTACTTATTCAAATACATTTAAATTTTATTAAATTGTTTTGTCAACGTTTTTTTTTTGTTTATTGTCCGAGCAGGCAGACGAACATACAGCTCACCTGATGGTAAGTGGTTACCGTCGCTCATGGACGTCAGCAATGCCAGGGGTAAAGCCAAGCCGCTGCCTACCGCTGTTGAAAACATGTTGAAAAGTTGGAAGTTGGTTGTATATGAATCTAAAAAGAAATATTTTATCATTTTCTGCGGTATTCCCGGGTCGTGAACATAATTACTTTTACATAAGTACTTTTACGGTTTATAATGGCGGACGACTGACCGCGATTGCGACCACGAAAACTGTAAAGTGCCCGAAACGTCGCGTCGATGAAATAAATGGAAAACAATAAATGCGAGATTAAGCCGTAAAAAAAAAACTTTTAACAATCGTTATGTTATAAAGTACTGTTAAAAACATTATTAATTTACATAAATCAAAAAAGATCTTGTGACCGCAATGTTTTGTGGTTACATGCAAAACGTATGTGTCCATTTTATTGATTTCTAGGAAGGCTAACGTTTGTGTTTTGAAATGTGTGTCGCGTTTTATTTAATTTTGTCTTAATATAAAATATAAACATTGTTTTAGAATTATAAATTCAAAATGTTAATTTTCTTTTGTCAAAAACTCTTTGTAGGCTACAGATAATTAATTGTATGAACGATTTTTTATTTTCAATCCCAGATCATCATCTCTTACGTTTGTAACAAATTCTATTTTTTTGTTATTTTCACATAAAAAAAACCGTATGCTAACAGGTCTTTCATGAGATTTGGTTTTGAATTTGTGTTGAATTTGAATATTTTTACATACATTCACGGAGCACTTTTATTTTCCCACGTTCGTTGTAAATTGAAACAATATGCACCCTTCACTGAACTTTCAGCATTAATTTGTTTCACCGTTGACTTAAGCAAACCTTTTTATGTAAAATTTCGGATTCACAATGAAAATCGTCCGAAATAAGTTTATTTTAAAATTTCAGACCGTCACGGTCAGCCTCGTGAAATGTCTGATGAGTCTTTTGTTCTTGTGCTACAATGTTTTCGAGCTCTATATAATCTGTTTGTGGAGCGAGGAGATTACGATTCAGGTGCGCATTTTTTTTGTTTACAGTTAACTTTTATATAATTAAATATTATACAAATGTTTTTTTTTTTGCAGTTTTGTTTAATATTTCTAATGTCTAATAAAAATGTGTTTGTTATTCATTTATTTAGGAATGGCTACAGCGTATTCTAAGTTCGAAATGAAATTGATACTTATTTATTATTAAAATGAATTATATAATACAATTTTACGTCACCTTTTGTTTTTGAAAAACTACAAAATGACTTTTTTTAATATTGATATAGATTTGACAATTAAGAATTTACAAGTGTACTTAAGACTCTCTAATACCAAAGATATAGAAAGAATACCATAAAGTTTTTCATTCGATTACTTCAACATTGGATTGTTAGGTTACAAGAGCCCCTAGTGCCCTATACCTCAAAGTGGATACCGCCATTCGCCTTGCCACTGGACATGGTAAGTCTACCTATCAGGTAGTCACCTATGCTACCCTACAGGCGACAAGAAACGAATGCTTCGCTCGTACATAATCTCAAACAATTTCAAATACACAACAAATGCATAATATATTTTATTCGCATAGCATTTTAACTATATCTATGTAGTCATTTGAATATTTCTCATTACTTAACATCTTCTATATGGCACTGTGATACTTTTTAAAATAATTTGAATAAAATGTGAACTTCTTTCTAGGGTTGTAGCATAGGTGAAGCAATATATTGTTCGGGCTGGGAGTGCGGCTTAGCTACCCTACCTGGAGTTCGTTCTACTATACTCCTGGTCATTGCTCGAGCCAACAAACCCCTGGTCCTGACTGCTGGAGGAATGTATAAGCTATCTCTCATTGCCTATACAACGGTTCGGTTTCATTTTTAAACATCAATTATTTTTTAACGAAAGACAGTGGCATGAATGTGCTCTTGACAATGTCAATGGCCACGAGCGACTTTGGTTACTACTAATGATTAATGGACCATAACCTCGTCTCCCTCTAGAAACACTAAACATATTATAAAAAACACTTTTTAATAGCAAGTCGAGAATATAAATGAAAATAATACTTTTATGATGGGGATCTTGTGCAAGATATTGAGCTTAAGTAATAAAATTATTACGTTGTTCTTGACATTTTAATATTTAACTTAATTTGACGTTAAGATGTTAGAAAAAAAAATTGATTCCTTTACATAGCTAATACAGATAAACGTACTCAAAAAATAAATAAACTGTAATCGAAATTATATTTAAGCCTATATCTGAAGAGTGAATGCCCTTGATTTGGTTGGCCCAATTGGTTTGAAGGGTGGGGCAACCGTTGTAGCTATACTGAGACCTTAGAACTTATATCTCAAGGTGTGTGGGGCATTTACGTTGCAAATGTCTATGGGCTCCAGTAACCACTTAACACCAGATGGGCTGTGAGCTCGTCCACACATCTAAGCAATAAAAAAAAATAAAAAAGAGAAACTTGATGTTAAACGTCGATAGATACGAAATGTAGTCGACCGCAGTGTGCTCAGTGCAAGCTTTCCAACGTTCTCGATCACGCAAAAGTTAACTCAAATTTGTATCCAGTTGGAACAGTGCCTAGCGGCAAACGTAGACAAACGTTCCAACTTCATACAAATTTGGTTTAACTTTTATGCTATAGAGAACTAAACACACTGTATCATACCGGGCTCATTCATCGGCAGCGTTAAATAAGCAGCTTACAGAGAATTCAGAGCGGGGTCATTGATTGTTTCGCAGCAGATAGGCAAGACAGTGGTATTATATAGCCCGTCACAGATCGCCCTGCCATCTGCTCTTTACACAGAAAATGGGAGATAGATTATTAAGCTATAAAGCGGGGTAGGCAGAATAAGATAATTAACAAATACAGAAGAATAGGTAAATAAATTCACAAATAGGTATTATATTCGTTTGGAATTAGATTAATATTATTAGACTTAGAATATAACTACATACTACGCTATGCGAGCAAGTATATGTTTTTTTTAAAAGTTAATGTAAAAAAAATAGTTGTGACATTTTTGCGTATTATAAATAATCTTCTTCAAGAGGATTCTCCACAATGCCAGAGGGCAGGCTTTTCTCTATAATGTAGTCTTTAATTAGCGAACAACATCTGCTGACATTATTAAATATTCACTGTTCCGCTTGTTTATTTTGAATCTTTAAAATGTAACGTATTATAAATTATTTGTTTATTTTATACAGTAATAATATAATTCAGGGAATACATTTCCATGTTGGACAAGTTTAGTTTTTTTATGGACGAACAAATTTTTTAGTGATCTGTATCACACATGTGATAAAATCACGATTGGTGTGTGTTATGTGAGTATATATGAATATCAATAAGCCGTGTATTATTCTAAAAAAATCTTACTGGTATAAGCTCAATCATGAAAGTTTCTAACAAGCTTTTACTGGTGGTAGGACATCTTGTGAGTCCGCGCGGGTAGGTACCACCACCCTGCCTATTTCTGCCGTGAAGCAGTAATGCGTTTCGGTTTGAAGGGTAGGGTAGCCGTTGTAACTATATTTGAGACCTTAGAACTTATATCTCAAGGTGGGTGGCGCATTTACGTTGTAGATGTCTATGGGCTCCAGTAACCACTTAGCACCAGGTGGGCTGTGAGCTCGTCCACCCATATAAGCAATAAAAATAAAAATAAACTAGGCAATCTTTCATCAAAAAGTAATTTCATGTTTATATTATTTAAAAAAATTGGTTAGTTGCCTAATCATATTAATCAATATGCTGGAATTTTCAACTAGGTAGGTAGGTGAACACAAGAAATATCGGCTTAAAAACGTCGAAAACTTTTCTTATTTTTCTCCATAACTTACTTTCCAGTTCGTCTACTTCATTCCTAATACACCAGCCTCTATCTTCAGTACTGTTTGTAATGATCAAATTAGCATTACAGTTTCAATAATCTCCAATACAAGGCGGTCTTCGGTCTCATAATATGTTCTCTATAACCTCAGTAGACAAAACATAAAAATAACCCATCTGCGAACGAAGAGTAAAATTTTTTAAACAAGACAAGAGCCTTAGGAACTCAATAACAAATTGTCTTTTTACGAATCACATTACAACTAAAGTATGTATGTACATGAATAATATGTTTGTTTACAGCTAGTAAAAACCTCGTACAGCGCGTTGACGGTCCTGCTTCGCTTTCGTCACGACTAATACAATGAAGTACATCACGCAACTACAAGATAAATGTAGTAGTGATATCATCATAGCTGTATTAGTCACGGCCATAGTGTGCTTAGAACAAAAACTATTGTTTGCCTAAAAGCGTCACGTAAACACATTAGACAAAACACGAGCGAAATAAAGTTAACGCACGGATTTAGAAAATTTACGAGTGTTTTAATTCTCCCTCAAATGTCGTATAATCGCTTTTAGAGCATAGATCATAAAAAAAAAACCGAGATGTGGTTTCAAGTGCTTAAAAGTACTAATTAAGTTGGCGTTTATTTATAAGAAACGATGAATGTTTTAATTATATTTAAAAATAATGCTTTTACTTGAGGCCGACAGCGCATAAGTGGCCTAAGCCTACCATAGTTAGTATGGAGGCAACTAGGTTTGAATTTTCATGAATTTGAATTTGAGTAAGCAAAAAAACAATACGCCCAAAAATAATGTTTACAAAGCTATCTGTTATCTATGGGTGAAACTATGGATAGGCCGGTTTTGCATCGAAATTTATAATATTTTAAATAAATTCGAATATACGTGATATAAGCTTGAATATAAAAAAATTGAGGGCTAGGCCACTTTTGCGCTGATGGCCTCATTTATAAGGAAGATTGACCATCGTAGTTCAATGAGGATCATGGTTGTTATCAGATTTTTGCTGATCGAATAGCATTGCTGAATTAAATAGACAATATCTCACGTACCGCCTTTTGGTAAGGGACTACTATAGTCCATGGTAAATAACAACAAATCAATTGAAGTAGCTTTTAAATTCATAACATTTTACAATTGCTCAAACTTAAATATGGAACATGAAAAGGAATTTTCGTTGCAGTTAATTGAACATAAAACTCATTGACGTTTTAATTAGAAGCTAGCAGCTGATGATTGTCAGCACGGGTTATCCGTTTTCAATGAGGTTAGAGTTGGAACAAGCAATTCTTCGAAGTGATCACTTAATTTCAATTTTTTTTACTGCAATTCTTCGAAGTGATCACTTAATTTCAATAATTTCAGTTTTTTTTTTTTACTTAGTCTTAGAGATTTATTTGACCTACCTGCTGTTGAGATTAGATCACATAGACACTATTAAGTGAGTGACATGTACGGTTTGACAATACTGATGGGCGACAAAAAAGTATGCCGATATTAGGAGTTAATACGCAGTAGATAGGGTATGTCAGAGTCGAACCAATTAAGCCCCCTATCGTTAAACAATCTGCGTTTACATTTCCTGAGACAAAGCTGTTTTATAATTCTTTATCTACTTTATCTTCTATAAATAAATAAAAACTTCTCTTAATCGGCTTTCGGCCTTTCATTTTTTTGTTTATTTAATTTTGTAATTTTTGAGACAATCAGATTTTTGATGACAACGTACCTTTTTTTTTTCTGTGAAATAAATTGAACTTCTTATGAAATAATAAAATATTATTTTACCGTTCTGTTTCGACTTTCAAACACAGCAAAAACATTATTGTATTTTAATTACAATTCCATTTGAAGAACATGACAAGTAGCGGACATTTACGTGAGGAGGAGATCAAAGAAAATACTTCGGACAGGAAAGGAGCGTTCGCTGTATAAATTTCAATGTATTACGTCGACGGAGACCTTTTGAGCTCAAATAGTAGTGGGAATCCGACATGGGCTTACTCACACGGGCTTGGAAAAAACTGAGCGACACGGATGCTTTGAGGCTGTCCAGCGGGTACTACGAAACTGCTTTTTATGAGCCTGTATATAGGGTCGCTTATTTAGTTGGTAAGTATGTTTAGTAAAGAATTTAATATGGGCATTCTAATGGTTTTATTACTACGGGTGCTGGTTTAAAAATGTTTAATACTATTATAGGGTTTCAAGAAAATGCTCGAGTTAATTATATGATGAAAACATGTTGAATAAACACCGTCCACTTTTTTTATAAAAAAGTCGAACAATTTCTTGTCGCTATAGACTGATTGATGTTAAGCAGTTGTCAGTGCTCAAAGATACCACAGTCTGGAAGGCGTGTCGTATTGTAAGTTCTATCGATACCAAATTCCTGTTTATATCGGTCGGGAATTAGTCATACGTGGCGGTTTGAAGGACGGACAACTGTTATACAATATATTGATATAACGACCTCATGTAGGACCCGCATGAGTCGGGGTAGGAGGCGGAAATGAGGCTGTAATATGTATGGGTATCAGTTATCATTTAAGACCAGGCGGTATTAATACTGCGAGGGCCGTGAGTTTATTCACTTACGAATAAAATGAAATTGCTTTTGAACAAGCTTATCTACGCGTATTTAGACGATTTCAAAACATATTTGCTTCAGCTTCTTCCCAGTTGTAAATATGTCAAAATAAAAAAAAAGACGTGTGGCACTCGGGGACTGTCGCGGTAAAGCTATTGCAAAGCATTTTTTATCAACTTATGATATTACAATTAGACAATAATAATTTAATATTAAACAATAATAAAAATATGACCACGCTATATTTATAAACATTAACAAAAGCAAAACATTAACTGTCTCCTTCAAACTCATAAGCTAGACCGCGTGAGAGAGATGGGCAGACTTTTCATGATTCTCATGCAGTGCGACGTCACGCCATGCGCTTATTCACAAACACTACACCAGCGCAACGTGTGAATGTGTTCAACGCGAGCTACATAGTAGGCGTAGTGGGGTGTCAGGTTATTTTCGTTACGGAATTTCTTGATTCAGTCGCCGCGCTCAAGGCCCGCGATAGAAGCTATGCAACAGCTTAAAAATATTTTGACATCAGAAAGCAATATTAATATAGTAAAAAAAATATCGGTATAAATATAAAAATACCGTAATCGAATTGATTTACGAGGACTGTTCTGTTTTTTCAATAAAATAAATTAATAATTCATTAAATTCGACTCTCACCAAATTAATTTAAATTTCGAATGATAATAATGAACATGATAAATAAAAATATCATTACTTATACAGGTCTATCGTCGTTGGACCGCAGCGTATCTTATCTCGTCTACAGCGCAGTGGTTAAAATGATGATAGGCATGTTCATTGGCGGAGAACTCTGGTTTGTCTGTACTGAATCGTTGAGCCTCGATGAAATCGCATCTTCTATAAATGTCATCGTGATACAAATGACTATGATGCTGAAGCTAAAAAACCTGGTTCGATGTTTTCATTTCGATTGCACTTGATTTTGGTATAATAAAATTCATCTTATAATTGACGCATTTGTTTTGAAGACATGTTAGTTATTTTTTTTATTGCTTAGGTGGGCGAACGAACTGACAGCCCACCTGGTGCTAAGTGGTTACGCCCATAGACATCTACAACGTAAATGCGCCACCCACCTTGAGATATAAGTTTCAAGGTCTCAAGTACAGTTACAACGGCTGCCCTACCCTTCAAACCGAAACGCATTACTGCTTCACGGCAGAAATAGGCAAGGTAGTGGTACCTACCCGTGCGGACTCACAATAGGTCCTACCACCAGTATATAGATCACTTCACGTATTAAGAGTATGTTTCGATTTTGAGTCTCATTACACGCTTTTAAATATTCCATGAAAACAATTATAGTAGTTTACGTCATACTCAAACGAATGAACAAACAAAAATATTATGAACCATTTATTTAGACCCAGGGACAATATCCTTAACGTAATCTTTTTTTGCAAATAATCTTCTGTTACAATTTAATAACAGCATAGAGGTGAATTGCAAACCAATATTTAGGATAAGTAACCTACTACTCTGGTTTGAAAACTAGTAGCCGCTGTTCTCATAATTATGATAGTAAGGGAAACCATAGTCCTTCCACGAAGGTATAATGCGTTCCATTTTGAATGGTGGGATATCCGTTATATCCAACCCAATCGATTTAGTTTCGTGTCCCATGGTTCGTGTCCCATTCAGGTAGTCTCATGTTTAAGAGCTTTGATAACCACTTAACACTACGTGGCTCTTGAATTTGTCATTAAATACAAAAAAAGAAAATAAAGCAATGAAAATAGTTTTATACATTTAAAAGGAAAACCAACTAAACACTTACACAGTATGCAATTTAATAACATGAATACAATGTACTTTTAAATTAAAGGTATTAAAAATACTGTATACTTACTTAAATTATACATATATGCAGAATAGGGATCGTAGTGCATAAAATACAACTTCCACTGTTCCAAAATCATCTGTTATAATAATAATTAAAAATTAATTAACACTTTCATTACGCCTTGCTCATTTTTTAACCGTCTTCGCCATTTTCCTTTTCTCTGTCATTCTGTCTATCATTCTCTTCTCCCTTTCTTTCCGTTTTCTCTCACTCACATCTTAACGCTCCGTTCCACGCTCTTTTCATACGTTCCGTTCTTACCAATCCTATATATATTACTTAATATAGTTAAAATAACTGGTGATATTAGGTGGAGCACAAAGATATATACAGGCGTCTGGCTACATCTATGGAGTCTCCGTATTTCGATATACGAACCGAAAAGCGCCGACAAATCTTCGAACACTGGGTCAAAACTCACGAGAGGACGCTAAAGTTCCTACTGTTCTTAGGCAACGGTTCTCTTGCAGCTTGGTTAGTAAGCTTTTAAACTGTAATAAAAACATGAGTGCAATTCACACGCGACAAAAGTAAAAGCTTCAGAATCATTCTATTTCATTCTATTTTGCTATTCTTGCCTTTAAAATACTATAGATTTGTCTCTTTTTAATACACTTTTATTAGCTTAAGACGTATGTAGGTTTGTAACGGAATCATTGAACATGATTTTGACCCCCTTCAAAACGTCGGATTAACTCGAAATTTGGTATACTTATTAAGGAAAGATGACAATTCAATATTTAAAAAAAAATAGAAAAAAAATAATGAAAATTTGAAATTCAATTAAAAAATAAAAAATAAATAATAGTTTAAAAAAACTAACGCTTTTTTTTTACAATAGAGACATTTTTTTCTTACACTATCTTAAATTCAAATTTTTTAAATTTATTTTCTATTTTTTAGTTGGATTTTCTATAAAAGCGTATATTGTTATTATAGTTTTTTTTAAACTTTTTTATTTATTTTATTGTCGCGAGCACAAAACTTCAGTCGTTAAACGTAAAAGGCGTCGTATTTATTTTTTTCTCGTCTGAAACTTAACGAATAGCCGTCTGCTGCAGCCGCGCGGCCGAAAACATCGTACGTTTTCCAGCTAACGCATTGTTTGATGTTTGTAACAAAAAACAGAAATGTAAACATCACTAGGATGTATTACAGTGTTCGTGGTTGCAAACAAATGCACAGGTTTCCGCGAAACGCAGTTACCGTAAGCCAACGAAAACAGTTATTTATATTGTGTTGTTTTATTTAACCTTGCGCAAATATTGGCAAGAAAAAACCGCGAAACTACGCAGCATCGAAGGTTTCATTGTTTACTAACTCGTGTTCAACTACAATGTTATTTGTTTGGATTGAATAAAAGCATTGGCGCCGGTTTGCCATTCTATTCATGAATATCTAAACTATTTTTAAACTCGCAATTTTGATTTATTGTTTCATATTAACCGTCAATGAAGTAGCGAAGATTCCTATATCTGGTATTGTATATTTATTTTAAAAAATAGTAAAACGATACCAATAGGACTGCTTTTAAGACAAAAGAAAATTTACGTGAAAAAATAAAATAAGTGTTATTACGATGTAGAAATTTGTATTAAGCCTGAACATAAGGAACAGTGGGTGGGGAATGCAAAGTCAATAATAATATATTCTAGCACAACCATAGCTGACGTCATAACCCATTACATGTATAATTCCTATTATCTCACAACTCCTCCACCGGTAACTATGAATTAGTAATTTCTGAACAGACTAAAAATATTAGTGTAAGCTTAAATTCGGATTGAAATTCAGTTGATGAAAATGAGTGAGCATTTAACGTAAATTTTTGATAGAGTTGCAGAAACGCTATGGTCGTAAGCCGATTGCGACCTTTTTTTAACGCCTGTAGAACTTTTTTTTTAGAATTAAATAAATATTTTAAATAATCTCTGATTTTAGGTATATTCATCCATTAATTGATGAGTTTGAGTACAATTTGATGGTCGGACTTCGACTGCCATTCAGTTTCGACACGCCTCTCCGATACTTGTGCACTTACGTCATCGTGCTGATTGCTTTCAACTATACTGCTCATTACGTCATGGTCACAGATCTAATTATGCAATCCTATTTGATACCACTGATCTGTCAGTACGCTGTTCTAGCCGACTGCTTTGAGAATATTTTGATCGACTGCAGTAATGATTATGGAGACCACGGTACGATGAAGTTTTTATTGATTATTAATCTTTGTTCAGGGTTGCATCAGCTTTATCTCAGTAGCAGTAGTATTATTTGTGGCTGTCCAAGAAATTATATGCTTACTAACAAAGAAAAAACCAATCAATTTTTTTTTTAGATCCGGCAAACTTAGGCAGCGTAATAAACTGTATTTTGGAAATTTCTTAATTGATATTAAATAAAACAAATAGATTTCTGTTAGTGGGCTTAATGTGTAAATTTGTGTAAACTATAATACAATTTTTTCCTTTTCATTTTTAGATATGGAAATGCATGAACGTAGCTCAGATCCAGCTTTTATTCGAATTTACATGAAACGGTTAAGTAATTTGGTTGAGCAACATTCATTTCTTCTGGAGTGAGTATTTTTATGGTTTTTAATTTATAAGGTTTATATTTGACAAAACCATTTTTTTTCTTTCAATTAATAATTTCGCAACATTTGTTTTTTTAATCGTCCCGTTTCGCATTAAATTTCGAATTAAAAGATATGATTTCCTTGCCTGTATAAGATATGATGTCTGTGCTGAATCTGAAACATATTTTATACTATTATTATTTTTATATACGATCGTAGGTGAAATGCCTAAAAACAAAATGTCAGATTCCATATTATTATTCAAGGTGACCTATTCGAAACTACAAGAAATACCGAAAACCTTTGAAACAATTTAAGTCACTTTGAAAGCCCACTTGCTAATGAATATATCAAATGGAATTTCGAGTTGTATTTTCTCTGTATCTTGAAGCTACGCAAACCTCCTTTGAGTTCAAAAAAAAAATCAAACAGTCATTTGTTGAGAAAATTACAGAGACCTTTGAACTTTGTAATAAAACACGAATGCTAACACCATATTAGCGAGACGTAATGATATTGTTTACAGTCGCAGTATGGAATTGCGGGCCATATTGAGCCGGCCAATGTTAGGTCAGTTGGCTTCAAGTGGCCTGCTTATTTGCTTTGTTGGATATCAGGCCACCACGGTAAGATATTATTTCTTCTTTCGTCTTTATTTATAATATAGTTATTTTAATCTCACTTTCTTAAATACTTTCCCGTGTGTTCGGTATACTTACCGACACACATTTAATCAAGGATACCTTACCACTAAATTGATTCTGTGTGAACAATTATAAACATTAAATCTGTATTCGTGTGTAGTTAATAAACTCAAGTGTAATATATATTATAATTGTTTCATTTATTGGCGTGAGTCTCCCAGAGCGGTAAGTGGTGGCGCCCTGAGATCCTCCTCACAGAGTCTCCTGTTCACCGGTTGTCTACCGGTGGTGACGTGTTTAGAAGTGGTGCGACTCGGCCCGTGTCTCTCGACCCATAGACCACCTTTTGGGGAGTGACGCGACTGGGCCTCATGTAATATCGGCATACCAGGGACACCCTTAGACACAGACACGTTATAAGATTAATAAATAATAAAGCCTAAAACTAGTTTAAATGTAGATATATGATTCAAATACAATGCACCGTACATGATAAACGTGGCTAATGTCAAGAGGACAAGAAAATAATGATGTTATTATTATTTTCGTTTTCATTAGTTGTTATATAGATTCATTATTCGTAGATGCTTAAGTAGGCAGTGGACAATATTTAAAAGTGGGTGAGAGTGTCGTGTACGTTTTGCATTACATGGGCTGATGAAGTAACGGTCCGTCTGATGTTCAGTAGTTAGCAGACCCCATAGATATAGATAGCAACGTGAATGTCACACGTGGTCAAAATTTCAGTTGTATTTGTTTAACCTACCTAAGTTAAAACTGATGGGATCGAAATAGCCAAAATGACCACCATCTTGCCTACAATGACCACCTCTTAGCATGCGACAGAAACATTACTATATGACTGGATATGCAGCACAGTTTTAACATCACAAATCACTCAGCCTATAGCTGTCCACTGGTGAACATAGGCCTCTCTAATCGATCTCCATCGCCACCAGTTGCCACCTGCATCCAATTTGACCCCGCGACCCAAGTCATCGATCCATCTAGTAGGCTGTCCCAGACTGCGCTTGCCAGTACGTGGTCTCTACTCAAGAATCTTTCTGCCCCACTGGCCGCCCGATCCTCGCGCTATTTTACTCGCCTAAGTTTTTTATTCTGATAGAATGAAAAACGCTACATTTTCCCTGTATACAGCTTTGGGAGATGTCCCGGGAGCTATTTGAGTTACTCTCCGCTATAATTTATACTCCCAGTCGATTTGTAGATCAGTTGGTGAGCTAAACAAAAAATATACGCAGAAGCAGCGAATATACTGATGGTTGTCTGAAAGAGAACGCTCTTAGCGATAAGACCGCCAATTGTACTTTTTTTTGTATTTAATGTATCGCACTGTTTATTTGTTTTTTGGTGTACAATAAAGAATACTGTCTCTCTCTCTCTCTCTCTCTCTTTCTCTCTCTCTCTCTCTATACTATCATACTCGTAATATGTAATTTAATTTCGTCCGGCGATCCCCTAAATCATGTCATTTACAAATATATCTGTACCATTATAGTTCACACCATTGTTAAAATTAACGTAACATATTCCTATATAATTCAATTAACAGTAGTATATTATAATATTTTCAGTCAATATCAGTGAACATCGTGAAATGTCTGATGAGTTTGTTTTATCTTGGGTACAACATGTTCACGCTTTTTGTCGTTTGTCGTTGGTGTGAAGAAATTACGAATAAGGTAAAAAACATTAGTAACAAACCAATTTGATTGCATTATTTAAAAACTAAGTCTTTGATTGTAACGAAACAAGTATATATTATGAAATTACGTCAATTCTTGTAGCCTAAGCGGAAAAAGGCTTCAACTGTCAGTTTTTAGTTTTAACGCGAAAAACTCAAAAATAAAACAAAACTTGAAACTATCTGGTAAATCGCTTAAAGTAAGAATCAAAGTTTAATTGAAATTTCGAATGTCGTCTTTTTGAAGTTATACTTCTTTAGGCACGTTATGAAAAATTGATGAGAGTGAAATTTTACGATGCGCGCGCACCGTGACACAAAATTAACAGAATGAAGTTGCCCACTAAATCGCTCATTACGATACGACCGACGTAACTTGGCATATAGCTGCAGATGAACTTTCGCGCATGTACACTCGTAAAAAAAGTTTTATTAGCATTAATTTTTTAGTAATATAAATAACAAAATTATTATTTAATATAATTCATACTAATTATTATTAAATTATTATCGTTAAATATTTATTATTAATAATTTAATATTAAAAAAAAAATTTTAATAAATATAAACTAGAGCTTCTTACGCGCATACATAAGTACACGCACCCTTTTTTTATTTTCTAGACACGCACGTAACATAATGCTCAAAAAGCGCGCTTAAGCGTTTTTAAAAAAAAGTAAATTTGCATGCGTTACGTTTGCACTAGAGCTGATCTAAATTTAAATGCGTTTCCCATTCAGAGCTTGAACATTGGCAATGCGGTGTACTGTTCAGGGTGGGAAAGTGGTATGACAGTTGTTCCCACAGTGCGGTCCACCATTCTGCTGGTGATTCTGCGAGCGAACAAGCCGATTGTGTTCACGGCCGGCGGAATGTATAATCTCTCCTTAACATCGTATACTAGCGTTAGTATTTTATGTGAATTATTAGTTTTGAGCATTTTTTTTATTATTGCTTAGATGGGTGGACGAGCTCACAGCCCACCTGATGTTAAGTGGTTACTGGAGCCCATAGACATCTACAACGTAAATGCGCCACCCACCTTGAGATATAAGTTCTAAGGGTCTCAGTATAGTTACAACGGCTGTTACAGTAGTAAGTACCGCTATCCTGCATCTGCCGCGATTCTATCATACATTGCATCTTGAATGATAAGACAACCGATATGCATTATAATTGCGACGACATACATATCTTATGGAGAATACTTGTTATCTCCGGTAACCAATTAACATCTCATTATTTATAAGACAAAAATTATACATACTTAAAAAGTTACTAATAAATTTTAACTAACTGTTCGTCAAATTTCCTTGAATACCAAAAATCATGAGCTATTTTAGTGAATGTTAACACATTAGTAATTAGAAGTTTTGTGATTTGTTCAAAAAATAATATTATTAAAGGTATATTTTTTTTTTTCAGTTGGTGAAAGGATCATACAGCGCTCTAACGTTTCTACTAAGAATTCAACACGAATAAAATCCTCATTGAATTGTAATATGTATTTAAGTGTTTATCAAGCAAGAATAAAATAAAAAATGAGAAATTGTTTAAAAAAAAACCATTTAACTATCTGCAACGTTAAAATAGCTGAGTTCAATTGTGAATGTTTCCCTCTGTGTTGTTGACACGCACTTTCTCGATTTCATTTTATTTACTTGTTCTCCACAATAAACAATCAACAAAACATGTCCCTTACGATTGTTTTTCTTTAATTACTCCGGATGCTTTCAATCTATTCGTAGAACAATGAATTTGTTCAATCCCCAAAACAATTACCTCCACTAAAAATACATTCGAGCCTGGTATTAAGTTGATAGACAAAAGCTCTCGTATTCCATAGTACGCTTTTCTGCTAAGTGAACAATAGTACGATGCCAATAATTAAACAGAGGCCTCTGGGAAATAAAATGTTCCTTGAATTTTTCGCTATCGAACTTGTTTGCGCATTTTTGTTCATGTTGTATCAGTGGCAATGGCAGCTGAGTATTTTCGATAGTTCCCGTGAAGGCTATTTCGGAAAAAGCAGTATCCAAGAACGATGTGACCTTGTTGATCTCGCTATTGTTAATTCATTCAATGCCCTCCCTTGGTCTTAAGAACTTGCTGTTTAATCAGGATGGATGGGAAAAGTAGAGGGCTCGGCTAGGAGAGGAACGGTTACTCACAACAGTCTGAGTACCCTTAGAGGGAGGGACCTAACAAATCAAGCGAGCGTATTTACAAGCGAATCAGAATCGCAATCCGCTGAGAAGATCAAGTGTGAAATTCCACGGGCTGTTCGAATGCTCCTTACTACTCTCTAGTTCGAATGTTTTGCTAGGGGCAAAAGCGTATACGCATTGCTCACAAAGCGAACGCTAGTTAAAATTTGTATGACGCACACAAGCTTTTATAAATACGGCTTCTAGGCCTCTATGTTTGGCACGAAATTAAAAGACTTAATCATTAGGGTTCCTCAAAAGGTAAAAAAAACAGTACTGTTCTTTGTCATCTGTCTGTGGAATTTAAAATCATTTTTCTCAAGAAGAGGCAGGGATGCCAATTATTGAGATGGAATGAGTCGGAATGAAGTAATAAAAGCCTCAGGTTTCTCTGTTAACCAATGTAATCCATATTTTACTATTGGCACGATATAGATTTTGACGCACACGTCACCCTATAGAACATTTTTCAATGACAATTTAGAAGTCGTCGTGGCCTAAAGGATAAGACGTCCGGTGCATTCGTACCTAGCGATGCACCTGTGTCCGATTCCCGCAGGCGGGTACCAATTTTTCTAATGAAATACGTACTTAACAAATGTTCAACTTCCACGGTGAAGGAATAACATCGTGTAATAAAAATCAAACCCGCAAAATTATAATTTGCGTAATCACTGGTGGTAGGACATCTTGTGAGTCCGCACGGGTGGGTACCACCACCCCACTTATTTCTGCCGTGAAGCAGTAATGCGTTTCGGTTTGAAGGGCGGGGCAGCTGTTGTAACTATACTGAGAACTTAGAGCTTATATTTCAAGGTGGGTGGCGCATGTACGTTGCAGACGTCTATGGGCTCCAGTAACCACTTAACACCAGGTGGGCTGTGAGCTCGTTCGTTGCTTCAAAGCAATAAAAAAAAACCCAGTATCCTAAAATTTGGCAAGCGGTAAAGTCTTAAAGCACAGCTAGCTATAGCTACAAGCACAGGGAGAATTCCCAAATAAAAATTAAATCCATTTGTACTTTTCAAACGTAGGAATAATTATTTGTGTATGACTTAGTTCTGTGACACTAAAAAAAAAAAAAAAAGTACTTTCCCCGACCAAGGAATAAATAACACAGTGTAATTAAAATCAAACCCGCAAAATTTATAAATTTTCCTATTTTATCAATAGGAGCCGTTCATTTGATGTAATTAATTAACACTTCGGCATCATATTTCAAGTACATTTATTGTATATTACACAATATATCCCTCGTTTTTAACTCGCTTTATTAGCTTGGTGTTTGTATGTATATTTTTGAAGTGAAGCTTCTTATTTAGACGTTGAGAGTAAAATTTAACTCGCGGCAGATTCGTTACGGCTAGAGAGAAAAAGTATAATATAGGACGAACCAGAGTGAGAAAATAGATAGAGCGTCTCGCGAACAACTCGACCTTGAGAGAGAGGGAGAAAGCAAGCTAGGTCGTTTCCCTTATACACATCATTCACTATTACAAGAGAAATTTGATAGAAGGATGAAATATGAAGAAAACCACAATACTACACACCGCAAAAGAAGTTTCACTTCTTTCACGTGCACCAAATTGCAGGCGCACCATTTTTTTTGTGTAGATAGCTATATCTTTGAACGTCATTTTCACCAATTTCAACACTACCGATTCATTTAAAAATCTGCACACGCATCAAGGACCGATGACAATTGAATAATTTTATAACTTTGCTCCTAACCAGTATCAACAGGATAAAAAAAAGATTTGTGGTGTCGTGGGACATCGGATAGGAACGAAGTTCCTTATTATAATAATATTAATTTTAAGTTCTATTCGAGGTATAAAGAAAATAATTATTCGGGTATAAATTTTTTGCTATGATTTTTTCATTGATAAAAATAAAATAAAAACTACTTTACAAAGTTATCAACTTTATTTTATTCACAATGATTTATAAAAAATATATAATAAAAAATTGTTATTTTTTGTACGTTATTATAAAGTTAAGTCGTACAATGTGTGCATTACTAATAAAAATCTTACGTTACGGACGTTTTTTCCCGGTTAGGGTACTCCTCCGCATCGTCCCATAAGGAACTTCGTTCTAAAAAAACAAGAAAAGAATTATTAGTTCGGGTGTTTTTAAACTAAATATATAGTCATATAATTTTCATCAACACCCTCTGGTTTCTCCATAACTAAACGTTCAGAACAGGAAATTCAATTATGTTAAAGTCCCATTTACACGAAACAAACTCACTTCGCACTAACTTGGTCGTGAGGAGTGCACAAAAGTTAAACAATGAACGCTAAGCCTTGTAACTATCTCTCACTTAACAGCAATCTAACAATACATTTTAATTGAAATGTTCTAGCTATTGTAGACAAATTATTCAAACAAAGTACGCACTTAACATAATATGTTCACGAATAACTTTTTTTTATTTATTGCTTTGATGGGTGGACGAGCTCACAGCCCACCTGGTGTTAAGTAGTTACTGGAGCCCATAGACATCTACAACGTAAATGCGCTACACACCTTGAGATATAAGTTCTAAGGTCTCAGTAGTCACAACGGCTGCCCCACCCTTCAAACCGAAACGCATTACTGCATCACGGCAGAAATAGGCGGGGCGGTGGTACCTATCCGTGCGGACTCACAAGAGGTCCTACCACCAGTAACAACAACGCTCGGACCGTCGCGGCGTCGGTTTACTGAGCAATTTCACCCGCTCGGTGGAAAATATTTCCTTAGTCGTTAACACCCAAACACAACATAGATGGACCCTGAGTTTATCTACCCATTTATAGGAATTAAGAAATTTTCCAACACTTCAGACTTTGTAAAGTAAAAGTAAGTAATTTTCGCTTCTATTGTACTGATATATGGAAAGATTTACGCGTAGGACATATTTAAAAAGGTTTAATTATTTTCCATTCACTAACGGAACCCTAAAAAGAGATATTTAAAAAAAATAACCACACTAGAACGTATTAAATAACTCAGACTAAGCCGATGACGTTGATAAACTACGTAGGAAAGAGCTTAAAGAATAAAATCGTCCATCTTTAATTATTTATGTAAATTTATATAACAACTGTCAAAACTAATTAACATCCACACAAAAGACGTTTCTACAGAATTCAGCGATATGACTCCTAAGAATTCAGAAGGCCTGCCGAATATATTGTTTCTCAGACAGTTCTCGTACATTTTCTATAATGACGTGTTATATTCTTAGGAGCCACACTACGATACGTCGAGACGACGAACGCAATTTATAAATACGAGGAAGTTTAGATATGTCACAAAAAATTGTAACAGTGAAGTGAGCGCACAATATTTGTTTGTTCGAATTGCGGAAATGAATATTCTTGGGTATTTAATAGCTGTGGCGCATATGCAGGTGACATTATTTTATACAATTTGCGTAATTCGTAATTAACAAACACAATTTTATTTAAGTATATTTTCTTATAACAATCTAACCAGATTACCCAGAGCCACATATTTTTATTGTCTTCAAAGGAAGATGAGATGATGTGGTAAGTCGTTACAGTCGCCCAAAGACATCAGCAATGGACATAATCAAACCGCTGCATACCCTTACGAGAAATGGTAAACATGAGCAACGTGTTACTCTGATTAATCAAACACAATGAAATGTTTCCAACAAATGATGTAATTTTTTCAATGATTTTTGATTGCTTTCACAATTTTCCTTGATAATTACTGGTGGTAGGGTTTGTTTTGGGCCCGAGGTATGTACCACCACTCTGCCTATTTCTTCCATGAAGCAGTAATGCGTTTCGATTTGAATAGTGGAGAAGCCGTTGTACTATAAAACTGAGACTCAGAACACTTATGTATGTCTCAAAGCGGGTGGCAGCATTTACGTACGTTGTTGATGTCTACGGGCTCTGGTGACCACTATACACCAGGTGGACGGTGAGCTCATCTACTCATCTAAGCAATAAAAAATTAAAAAATTCTCAAACGAACAAATATAAAAAAATTGTATAGTATAAAATTCCCATTTCTATGGTCAATAATATAACCACATACATAATATATTTGAGGAAGCTGGTGCAAAAACTGGACCAAGGTGGTTACGACCCTTAGTAATGAGGAAGCGATGAAGGAGAAAGGGTTATTTTGCTCAATTGTGTTCATTACCTTCAAGGCTCTCAATGGATCTCGCGGGCCTTACGAAGACATACTAACCAATATAGGAACACTTGATTCACTTGCACATCAAATACGTGAACAAAACTTGCTGTCATTGGAGGGTTTCAAGAGCAGCGGATTTAGTAGGAACGGTAACAAAGGATATTATTTATCAAGGAACTTACGAGATTACATTTATTACAAAGTCGGAAATCCTACAGATGAAGGCGTTTTTCTGACTATTCTCTACAAAGATCAGGATACTAATAAAAATGTTCCTGCGCTATTTGTATCTAAAGTCGATGTTAATGACGAGATCCGAGAGGCAATAAACGATTACGTTAATAAACTGTAGAACTTTGGCCCGACTCATATTTTGTACGAATGCTTAATTTAATTGGCAAAAGGAACTGTTTCCAAAATATTTTCTATTAGCTTTACTTTTTCTTTGTTTAGTTTTTTCAATTTTCGAATTTCGATTTCGAATACGAGACGGTTTCGTTTTGTCGCATACATATTATGCTGAATAATTTTAAATATAAAATTTGAGTTCCCATCTGTATTCGTAAAAGACACTGGCAGCACCGCAATACTGAGAAATTTGAAAATTTCACGTTTTTATTCCAAAATTTGGAAAAACTACATATTCAATAAATGTTTTACTTTGCGATTGCCTCTATGGTCCAGCAATTCTTACATCCGGATTAGAATCTTTGTCTTTATTTAGCAATTCCAATTGTTCTTATCTCGCACCCTTAATACCAAAAAGATCTAGCTGGGACACAAAGTTTTAAATCTCAAAAATGTATTTTTCAAATGTGTTGCAATTTTTTAGAACACTTTTTAAATAATATCGTTCAAATTTCTTCAAAGTCACTAATAAAAAAATATATTTTAGTCATATTGTATTGTATTTTAAGTATTAATTATATTATAAGACAGATGTGTCGGCTTATATTCGATATTATTTTACTTATGAGCATTATTCTAAAAGAGATAATAAACTTGTTGCGGTAACAATTTTTTCTTTTTTATTTCCCAATGAAACTAAATCAGATGTTTTGTGATTTTTTATTTTTTTTATGATTGAAGGATTACTGGTGGCCCGAAGGCCTTTCCAGTTTCACCAGGACAGGTGGTGTTTTGTGATATGTGATGAACTAAGTTACTGACCCTTATTCCTGTATCACGGGGCCTGATTTCGATCTGAGTCGGTATCTTTGAAAAACATTTTTGGTACTTGTGCTTCTTTATCTTTTTTAATTGCTTATACGGGTAAACGGGCTCACAGCCCACCTGATGTTAAGTAATTACTAGATCCCATAAACATCACAAAGCCATAAACACCACCACCTTGAGACTTTGGGGCCTACCTCTCAATTGGATTGGATATCTATTACGAAAATAATATTTTTGTGAGTTTGACTTTTCTTATACGCAACGTGGAAGTCATTCGTGAACGTTTCTTAAGTACGTATTTCATTAGAACAATTGGTACCTTTCTGCGGGATTCGAACACCGGCACGGTCGCATCGTTCGATACAAATACACCGGGCGTCTTATCCTTTAGGCCACAACAATTGATGTTCTTGTGTTTATCTGTTGGTGAGTTCGTTTATAGTAGCCATTCATGGGAAATGAATCCATTCTAAAAGAGGAAATAAATAAGGCCTTTGGGCCGTTCAAAATGGAATGGAATAAGTAACATTTTTCTTACGCGTCTTAAGATAGACGTTCTCACTTACCATTTTGTGTTTTAAATATTTAACCACAATGTGAACAGTGATCTAAAAATGTGTGCTACTTATCTATCTATACATATAAAAATGAATGCCTGTTGGTTAGTCTCTCTCTCTATCTTATTCTCCTGTTCCCGAGAACGGCTTGACCGATTTGGCTAATTTTGGTCTTGATTTATTTGTGGAAGTCCAGAGAAGGTTTAAAAGGTAGATAAATATGAAAATGCTCGAAATTAAATAAAAATAACAATTTTGTTTTTCCTTTGATGGGTCCCCCGTCGGACGGATTCCTTTTGTTTGGTTTAAGTTTATTTTATACAGAAGTTTAGATCTTTTATTTATCGATTGAGGCACTACGAAGTCTGCCGGGTCAGCTAGTTTTAAATAAAAAAGAGGTTTGTTTGTTATACCTTGTTTCTCTCGGAACTTCGTTTTTGAACAATTACTTACTAGTTCATTGAAATATTCATTCAGTATTTTACGTGACATTTCAAATTTAAATAATTTGTTTCGGAAGTTACAATTCCATTGGATTCACGGTTGATCTTCAAGAAATAGGTAGAACTAACCGTCACGGGTTTATTTGTGTTGCGAGCTTAATCATATTACACGATCCTTTGTTGACGAAGACATCGGTTTTCCCATTCGGCCAAGGACGCTTGTACAAAAACCGTATAATAAGTAAGGATAATAAGTTAAACAATTTTTTTTTGGCTTTCAAGGGTTCCGTGTGTCATACTAAAAAAAAGGAAACTATAGAATTACTCTCGTGTCTTTTAGTGTGTTTTATACGGCTTGTTTATCCAAATCTATTAGTCGAAGAACATGTTTAATATATAAATAATACATAGATTGAATACATAGCTTAACATACAATACTTTTTTTATTGCATAGATGGATGGACAAACCCATAGCCCACCTGGTCTTAAGTGGTTACCGGAGCCCTTTGACATCAACAACGTATATGCCGCCACCCACATTAAGATATGAGTTTTAAGTCTCAGTATTATATGTACATAGTACAACGCCTGCCCTACCCTCCCCTACAAAACGAAACTTATTACTGCTTCACGACAGAAATAGGCAGGGTGGTGGTGGTACCTACCCGCACGGGCTCAAAAGACGCCCTAGCACTAGTGATTACGTAAATTATAAATTTTGCATGATTGATTTTTATTTCACGTTGCTGTTCCTTCACCGGGGAAAGCATTCGTGAACATATTTTGTCACGTACTTTTTTTTTTTCTTTTTTTTTTATTGCTTAGATGGGTGGACGAGCTCACAGCCCACCTGGTGTTAAGTGGTTACTGGAGCCCATAGACATCCACAACGTAAATGCGCCACCCACCTTGAGATACAAGTTCTAAGGTCTCAAGTATAGTTACAACGGCTGCCCCACCCTTCAAACCGAAACGCATTACTGCTTCACGGCAGAAATAGGCAGGGTGGTGGTACCCACCCGCGCGGACTCACAAGAGGTCCTACCACCAGTAATTACGCAAATTATAATTTTGCGGGTTTCATTTTTATTACACGATGTTATTCCTTCACCGTGGAAGTCAATCGTGAACATTTGTCGAGTACGTATTTCATTAGAGAAATTTGTGCCTGCCTGCGGGATTCGAACATCGGCACTGTCGCTTCGAATACACCGGACATCTTATCCTTTAGGCCACGACGACTTAAATGTATGTACATACATACGTGTAACCTGGCAGCGCGTACCAGAAGCTCAGTGCACTCGCACGAATGCACAATATTATGCAATTGAGCTTCATCGAATGCTTCGTGCGACGTTCAAATGAATGGAACCCTTGTAAGAAATGCATAAGGCGACTCGACTCTCGCTTTTATAATAATAATAATAATAAGCCCATTTTATTTCCAATAACAAAGAAAGAAAAAAAGAAAAAACACCTTATCAAATAAAAATTACAAAATTAAATATAAACTTGTGTTTGGAACCCCATTCGGGTATAGGCCTCGCTTGCTCCACTCTTCCCTATCCTTGGCTTTGTTTCTCCATTCTTTTTTCTTATTAAGATCAGAACATAGATATGTAGAATTGATATACGCTCGCTTTTATAGGCGTATTTAATTTTAAAGTATTATAGAGTGTATAGAGCTATATTGTAGAATGTATAGCATTGCTTACGTCCATTGAGCGACGGTATCTATTCACCATCAAGTGGACCGTATGTTTGTCTAGCTACAAGTGCAATCAACAATCTAGATGAGACCATTTCACTTGCTTCACGTATTAATGAAGCAAAAACGTATGAGTACGTATTTATTTTGAATAACCCTCCCGATTTAAGTCACGGAGCCCGATCTTCGGCTCCTCTCATCGATTCCCTGCTGGCCAGTCTTCGCAAATCAATCAACTGGCTCCTTTTTTTTATATCACGTATGTATAAATATTATATTCCTTTAAAATCGGATTCCATCAAAATGTTCAAGGTTACATACATATATCGCCTTTTCGCATTAAAAGTGTACAATTTCCAAAAATATTCGGAATTGAGTTAATATGCGTAATCATTTGGTATCACCAGTATTTTCTCTAAATACCTACTGTCAACAGAGCCTAGTTTAGTTTTAGTTTTTTTTTTAGTTTGCCTATGTTTTGACTACTATTAACGAAATTAATATATAATTTTATCTTACTTTAAAGACAAATAATGTAATGGTAAACAATAAAAAATAAATGTTGTAAATATGATAAATATTAAAAATATTACATGTTAAAACCTTCAAAACACTCTTTTGTAAAACTAGTGTGTTTTGAGATTATAGTTTTAATGCAAGAAGACGATATAGGGATCGGCTTAATAATTTCCGTTAATATTAACACGCTACTAAACATGAGCACTAATAAACACTTTTATGTTAGTACCTTTACTTTGAGACAAAGTAAGACGGCTTGTGCCTAAAATAAAAGGCAGTTTTTTAGTTTTTTGTTCATGTTATAAAAAAATATTAAATTTATAATATCGAAAGCAGAGAAGTACGGCTCATCTGCTGATGCGTGGTCACCGCTGTGGATCAGCGCATCTACAGATAAGAAGCAAGGCAATACGACTAAACAAAGGATAAAATAAACACATCAACTACTTTTTTTTTATTTGGACGAGCTCACAGCCCACCTGGTGTTAAGTGGTTACTGGAGCCCATAGACATCTCCAACATAAATGCGCCACCCACCTTGAGATATAAGTTCTAAGATCTCAGTATAGTTACAACGGCTACCCCACCCTTCGAACCGAAACGCATTACTGCTTCACGGCGGAAATAGGCGGCTTGTTTATGTTTAAAATATGACAATTAAAACACTGTATGATTTAAAAAAATACACATTCCAAACCGCTCGCAATTTCCTCACATGATAATTTTTGCAATTAGGTACATCGTTATCATAATGCAAAGTTCATGCACTTGACATTTACCACATAATTATTATCATTTTATATTAGTCGTTTGTTCCCACAAAACGGCATCATTTCGTTAAGTAGACAATCGAATGAATCAACGTGTAGCTGTCTACAATATCATTTTTAAAATGATTCTAATTAACGATTTTCGCTTACCTTAATTTTATGGTTTTAGTAACTTGGATGATTTTGACACATGAGCTAACATTGTACAGGATGGTACATTGTCAGCTCCTATTTCACTGGTGGCAGGACCTCTTGTGAGCCCGCACGGGTAGGTACCACCACTCTGCCTATTTCTGCCGTGAAGCAGTAATGCGTTTCGGTTTGAACGGTGGGGCAGCCGTTGTAAGTATACTGAGACCTTAGAAATTATCTCAATGTGGGTGGCGCATTTACGTTGTAGATGTCTATGGGCTCCAGTAACCACTTAACACCAGGTTGGCTGTTAGCTCGTCCACCCATCTAAGCAATAAAAAAGGATGTAAAGTATTCATCTCCTTCTTCACTACTTTTCAAAACAAAGACAGATGATTGCTGACATGAAAGGGAAAAAATCGTATTTGAATACATTTCACTAACTGTTCATCATCTCACGCATAATCTATATATTAATACGTGAAGCAAAAACTTTGTTTCCCTTTTTACGAAAATTGCGCAGACGGAGGAGTATGAAATTTTCCACACTTATAGAGAATATAGAGAAGAAGTGCACATACATTAAATCATACATCATACATTAAATCAATAAAGAAAACATTACACACACTACATACCATGTATTTGACGCACACACGCATGCATACTACGAGTATTTATTGTCAAACTTTTGTTCTT